TTTGTTATCTTGAACTTGGCCATGGCTATTGTTGGAAATATTAGATCTAAACTGAAAACTCAACAACATTTACCATCAGAAGATGATACTTTTGAGCGTGAGCTCTCTAATCAGAACAAATATGGGAGGATATTTTTCATATGTTAAGATAGGTTCCCGCAATTACTGAGAAATAAAGAACATTAATTAATCCAAGCATGTTTGCCTGATTTTAACAATTACAATTTCTTCTCACTATTTTTAGTTGTAACAGTGGTAATAAAAAGTGACTGTATACTCAGCTAAAAAGTTTCAATATTGCACGGCGCGATTTTATTTACTGAAAACAAAATACATATATTTTCCTTCTTTGACTACGGGCACACTCATCTTCGACTGCTTTATATATTCGTATATACAAATCCTGTTGATAACATTGCTGGTTGTTGCAAATTCTATTGTTTATCTACAACACATACAGACTATTACTACACGGCTGTATTCGTTGTTGTTACTCATTTGTAAACAAACAGAGACTAAATGTGCGCAAATACCGCGATTAAAAGCAAGAATATCTGTATTTAGATGATGATCCTTGGCATACTTTCAGTCCACTCGATTTATATGAGTGTATTTTGACCAAGTGCTGTTAACTCTTTGCAAACAGGCGGGCTATATACATACCATTTTAGATCCACCTCTAAACGTAGTAATACTATATGTATAAATTCAGTCTGCGGCGGCTCCAGATAGCCAAAATCCACTTCTGTTCAATGATCATCATCTCATGCGAGTTTTCAATCATCGATACGTGCAGAGAACTCAAAGACAAGTATCTAAATCAGATGAAATGTACGTTCTCTCACAGTGTAATGTTAAAGAACACTACGAATATATATGTCATATCTTAGCGCACAGACTATGATGTTGAATTATGCACTGCTGACCGGTTTCAGCTTTGTTATCATTCAACAGACAGATCTCAGAGCAAGGGTACAATAGGCCCCTATCATTGAATTTCATACGACTTCAAACTTCTGAGCGTTTCAAACAGTGTCGAGATGTTCGATTTAAGAAAACCATAAACACAAAGTCCTGTTATCAGAATGATATACAAACGAGCTCAAAAATATATTGCAAAGCTCTTTCCACGATAAAGTACTGCAAAAACACTTCCCTGATATTTTAACATGGATAAGTACCAAGAGTGAATAGTGCTGATCATATTCGACAAAACAACTTGTTTTCAGACTACGCTGATGGTGAGAAATGATTAATCTAACAGAACGATTGGGTGTGCTGTTTTTTAATTATTCTCTCTTCACTACGTCATTCTAGTCAGCTTATAACAGTGTTTCTTTCAAACGCACCGTACAACTCATACATAACGGAAGAATACTACTCTCTCCAAAAATGCACCACAAAAAGAAATAAAATCTCCTCATCAAACAATCAATACATTTAGGCTTTGGAATAAAACATGCAACAGCTTTCTTATAATGTAGAATCGCTGCCATTCAGTGTACCACACCCTGATCACATTGGCATTAGTAGAAATAACATCTGAACTGCGCACGTGCTGTACTATCATCGATCCCATTCTTCTACATCTCCAATATAGTTGAGCTGTCTACAGTAATGTTGTCTTGTCCATCATACCCTCTCAGAAACAAACTCTAAACCGAGAGGATCACTCATAAACGCACCGCACTATGGCGTCTCTTCTACAAAACACTACTCCGTTATACCTTCGTAACTAAACCATTCATTTTCACCGATGCACATGAATTTCTCAGGGAAAAAAGGCATCACCATTCAGGTAACATTCACTTCTTACAACAACATTCGCTATCTATACCTTTATTACTCATAAATGTCACCAAGACCACACAACAAATGATATCTACTAAGTTCTCAATCGAGGAAGACCTGATCCACACAAAGAGCCATCAGATCCACGGTCACTTATTCTGCGATTGAATTTAAAGCCAGATCTATACCATCGTGGCGCTCTAAGAATGAGACAAAACAGAAATTACAAACTTCTTCGACCACAGCATCAATCTTACTATATTCCTATCCAATGCATCTGCAATGTGTTGACCTATTTCATCACCGATTCTATTGCACCAGAGCCTAAGTGTGGTGAGTGTCTGTAGGTGTGAGATAGACTGAGTGCTTCATCTTCTATTAAACGAGATCAATATTACCGTATTCGTTCGCAACGCATCCGCAATGTGTTGTGCTCCTTCAACACCGATTTGGTTCCTACTGAGGTTAAGTGTGGTGAGTGTCTGTAGGTGTGAGATAGACTGGGTACTGCATCTCCTTCAAAATAAGATGAATATTACCGTATTCATTCGCAGCGCAATAGCAATGCCCAGTGCTCCTTCAGCACGGATTCCGTTCTCATCGAGGTTAAGTGTGGACAGTGCCTGTAGGTGTGATATAGACTGAGTGCTTCATCTTCTATGAAATGATATCAATATTACCGTATTCGTTCGGAGCGCATTAGCAATGTGTTGTACTCCTTCAGCACCGATTTCGTTACACCAGAGGTCAAGTGTGGTGAGTGTCTGTAGGTGTGATATAGACTAAGTGCTTCATCTCTAATGAAATGAGATCAAGATTACTGTATTCATTCGTAGCGCATCCGCAATGTGTTGTGCTCCTTCAGTACCGATTTGGTTCCAAGTGAGGTGAAGTGTGGTGAGTGTCTGTAGGTGTGAGATAGACTGGGTACTGCATCTTCTTCAAAATAAGATGAATATTACCGTATTCGTTCGCAGCGCATTAGCAATGTGTTGTGCTCCTTCAGCACCGATTCCGTTCTGATTCAGGTTAAGTGTGGTGAGTGTCTGTAGGTGTGAGACAGACTGAGTGCTTCATCTTCTATGAAATGAGATGAATATTACCGTATTCGTTCGTAGTGCATCCGCAATGTGTTGTGCGCCTTCAGCACCGATTTCGTTACACCAGAGGTCAAGTGTGGTGAGGGTCTGTAGGTGTGAGACAGATTGAGTGCTTCATCTTCTTTGAAATAAGATCCATATTACCGTATTCGTTCGCAGCGCATCCGCAATGTGTTGTACTCCTTCAGCACCGATTCCGTTCTCCACGAGGTGAAGTGTAGTGACTGTCTGTAGGTGTGAGACAGATTGAGCGCTTCATCTTCTTTGAAATAAGATCAATATTACCGTATTCATTCGCAGCGCATTCGCAATGTGTTGTACTCCTTCAGCACCGATTTCGTTACACCGGAGGTCAAGTGTGGTGAGTGTCTGTAGGTGTGATATAGACTAAGTGCTTCATCTCTAATGAAATGAGATCAAGATTACTGTATTCTTTCGCAGCGCATCCGCAATGTGTTGTGCTCCTTCAGCACCGATTCTGTTCCCACTGAGGTTAAGTGTGGTGAGTGTCTGTAGGTGTGAGATAGACTGGGTACTGCATCTTCTTCAAAATAAGATGAATATTACCGTATTCGTTCGCAGCGCATCCGCAATGTGTTGTACTCCTGCAGCACCGATTCTGTTCCCACTGAGGTTAAGTGTGGTGAGTGTCTGTAGGTGTGAGATAGACTGAGCGGTTCATCTCTAATAAAATGAGATCAATATTACCGTATTCATTCGCAGCGCATCCGCAATGTGTTGTGCTCCTTCAGTATCGATTGCGTTCCAACTGAGGTTAAGTCTGGTGAGTGTCTGAATTGAAGTAATATATAATGAAAAGCGCAAGTAATAAAGAAAGCGTTTGGTGGGAGCTCTGATGGTATTTATGGGATTTGAAACAGTTATGGTTTAGGTGGATTTTCAAGGAGGAGCTGGGTGTAGATGTCAGTTTTTCGGGTGGATGATGATGCTGATTGTTATTCCGGATAGAAGTGCTATGTCGAGAATTTAGACTGGAGATTACTGTGATAGGATGGAATCGGAAAGAGTACGACATAAATTTCAATATGCGTTGGTGGTAATGGGATCTCTCTTTTGAAGACGCGCTGCTGGGAAATCGAAGTCCTAGTCGTGTGAAATGTAGTAGCGGGACTTTATGTACCCGTGTTGAGAATGAAGATTGGCATTGGTGAAGCAAGAGTGCAGTGTTTTTGGCTTGAGAAGATGAGTTCCGTGAAAAGTTGTAAGTGATGCAATTTTTGTATCGAGTAGTGCAACGCAGAAACGGTAACGAATAAGTAAGCTTTTTGCTCGTTCATGGTCGCGTATCGGGCGAATGCATCCTCAACGTACATAAAATAAAAGGGAGGGAGTAATGGTATGCTTGATTTTATATTACTTCTGGCTGTGGTTGTCTCATCCTAGGAAATCGTTTGTGAATTATGAAATTAGTTTGGGTTTTCCTATGAGGGAATCTACGACATCAAATACCATTAAGCTTATGTATAGCACAGTCTACAAGAATGTTAGGATACCAAGTAAACTTACTTGATATCGCTGGTAAGAACTCAGGATCTGATTGAGCCGTCGGCAGATATTTTGCATTGAACAAAATAGCGTCCGGTCATTTTGATGATCCATAATTCGATAAACAATTTCGAGGGGTAATGTGGAAAATGTGTGCATGTTGTATTTCAATCGTGCAGCAGACCGTACCGTGGAGACTGGAAGCGATGAAAAATGTTTTACTTTGTTCGTTATGAGTAGTAACTCATGGTGGTGATGTATTTATATATGTTTTTGACGAAAACAAATGACGTGTAACCATTTCAACAGTTACAAATTGTTGGCATGCACAGATAGGTGGCATTAGAATACGTATGCGCAGTGAATTCTGTGTTCACAGTTACAGTGGTACAAATTAAAAAATTGAAAACAGGACATCTTTTTATGACTTTAGGTCCTTTGGAAACCGATTGTATTTCCATCAAAAGGAATTAACATCTCTAAATTCGTTTTTTGAACTAAAAATTGTAATGGAATATGAAAAACTCTACAGCTTAGACTAGAGATTCATTTTAATTATATGTATGTTTTGTCTTCGAGAACACTAAATGTTACCCAGTCAGTTTTCACTGATTGTTTTGCAACATTTGACGTTTTTTTAGTTAAAAAAACAGATGATTGTAATGAGTTCGACGATATAGTTTGCTGATAGAGCTTCATGCAGCATCCCTCAGTGTGTTTGTTTCATTTTTTTCAAATCTTATTCGATGATAAATAAAACAAAAACAAAAAATGATCGTTTCTCAATCTGAAAAAAACAGTCACATGATCTTTTATTTCTTTTTAAAGCCAAAAACTATAAAAAAATTGAGCTACGGTTTACTGCAGAGGTGACGTTAGCTAGAAGATTTAAAGTGAAGTTAAATTGATATCCCTAAGCTGCGTATCTGATTTTTGTGTTGAAGGGTGAGTTAGAACATTCATTATCTTTCATATAAATAGAATGACAGCTTCATCATCGAGGTGCTCTAACAATTTGCTGTCAATTTATTTTGATGAATTAATTACCCTATGGTATTTTAATAAATAAGAAAACGTGGAAAACCTTCGAAATACCAAATTTTATCGATTCTCTTAGAAAACAAGACGTTTAGTTTATTGGAAAAGTTAAACCGCTTTTCAATATCCCTAAACCGGTGGTTTTAACGATAATTATGAAATCTGCAAGAACGCTGTAGTATCTTATTTTAAAACATCCATAGTCCTGCTATCAGCTAACTTCCGATTAGTTTTTTACAATATAATAACTGTGATATACAAATGCGAGCAGTTACAACGAAGGGCAAAACTAGTACTTGATGTATTATTTGGCTGTGGAGGATAGTATTTTATGTAAAGCGTGCTATGTTATATCGGTTTCATAATATTTTACTCTATGCTTTCCGCAATAAATGATGAAACGAATGGAACTACATTGTTCTAGTACTTCAGCATCGGTTTTCCTCTGCTGAAACACAGATTGACTATGTGATTTGCCTGAAAATCTATTTTATTCCTTAATTGATGCGCATTCATAGTCCCTCTTACTAAAACTATTTTCGACGATTTGATTTCACTGGTAGCATTAACCCCTTGCGAACAGGATTATTTTTAATAGAGCAAACAAGACTTTACACACTCTGGTGGATGCAAAAGACAATGCGTGCGAAGATAAATAAAAATAGACGATAAATGATAGCGGTGGACTATGACATAGCGAAAAATTAGAAGTGATGAATATAACTACAAAAAGAAAAAAGATGAAAGAGGTCACTATACGAAGGATAGTATAATGCATTAACGATATATATATATAGCGACATAGATCATTAAAATATCGTGAATAGTATACGGAAATAAATTATGAGTTATTTCAACGCAGACGAATACATACGTCGTCCGTTGACAGGGGGTTAAAAACATACAACATGGGATGAATCCAATACATCTTATAAATGAAATTTCATGAATATTGGATATCACGAAATATCAGGTGTTATTATCCGTAGTTTCTCAATCACATATTGTGTATATACGTTGCCCTTTGACTTTGGAAAGCTTTGCTTTATTGACAATATACTTGCAAATACCATGTTCAATTACGTTATTGAGCTATTGTCTCACATGCAGAAGTACACAACATGTTTTCAAGCGATTATCACAGTCTAAAGTCATATTCATAAATTGGAATAAAAAAAAGAGTTATCCGATTCTGAAAAACTGATTTTTGTGCTTTTTTGAAAAAGAATAATCCCGTCCCGAACGGGTTAAACTGATTACCTCGGTCGAGGTTCCGACGAGTATCTTGACCAACATTTATTTACTTACAGAAGGTTTTTCCTGTACCTGTCAAGAAATGGAAAAGGAATCTCCGCTTTAAAATTGTCTTATTAACCTCTTCATCGATGATTTCCTCGAAGATACGTATTTACTGGAGAATGAACGATCCAATAGAAAAAAAGATCTTTTGCTAGTGAATAAAATAGATTTTCGTGTATTTATTCAAAGTTTAGATTGAGTAATGGATCGAAATGTCCGTGAAAATCACCAATTTCGTTTGAATGAAGATTTCGCGTCGAATGACGATGAAAATTATTCATTTTTGTCAAATTAAGCGATTGACACTTACATAAAGCAAAACAAAAAAAAACGAATTCATCCGATATGAAATTCAATTTAACTATAAAAGTAACGAAATCTACATAATCCTCTTCTTTATTTCAACTTTTTCTTATAAATTTTCAGTTGATTTCGAAGGGCATAAAACATCGAAAAAGCAAAGCCAATAAGAAATGCAATGATCCAAAAGACCGTAGTGTCTATTCAAATTGTATTTGAATTTGATCTTCGATCGTTGTTTCAACAATTGATTTCACTTTCCACTGAAACGCACTGATCATTGAACATTCATTCATTTCGATATCACATTGACTTTGAGAAATCAAGTCGATATGAATGGATTCGTTGAAAAAAGTATAAATTAGATCATTTTCAATATTCAACAGAGTGATTGAGGGAGTTTTCAGACATTGACCGGTTTTATCTTCGTCGTTAAGATATCCAATGATCTGATAGGGTAAACGAGTCATTGGAGGAGAATTCACTTGGGAAATATTCATAAAAGAAATTAATTCAACTGGCGTTTGAGTGACATCAAAATTATTCCAACAACAGGAAGAATTCGCAAAAGGAAATCGAAATTCATAGGAAAGGTCGTTCGAAGACGAAGTGACAAGGTCAACTGTATAGAAAAGAAGACTTCGTGGATATTCTACAAAGAATTCACTTTGTTGATCCTATTTAACAAAAGAAAATAGTTGTTAACCGTGTGATTTCGAGTGACATTCCATATTTGAAAGTTGAAATGACCAAGATTGACAATGATCAGAAGAGTTTAAACATTGAAGTCCAAGATAAGATTCAATTGGAATCGATTTTGAATGATAAGAATCACATAGATGAGAGGATTTATCTGATAATGCCAATGTCACTAAGAATTCCATCGAAATTTTATTCAAATTTAACCGCTTTTTTATTCGAGTTTATTCATCGAAAGCGAAGATTAGTTTTGTTCAGAGCCTCCAATCATGCCGTTTTCAACGGGTGTATGTTGGGGAATATTTCTGACAAGAAGTAAAGGTCAAATTCAATTCGGAGTCGATATTTAGCGATGTAAGAGGATATCGATGTTATTTGAACCAGAGTTAGCAACAATAATATCAGGTATAGAGTCTCCATTCAAATCAGATACTGTTACGTGGACAGGCTGTCTGCCAGTTTCGTAAATAACTTGACTACGAAAAGTACCATTACCTGCGTTGAAGTGAACACTAATGACGCTGTCTCCGTAGTTTGCGACGGCAATGTTAACCTTATTATCAAGATTAAAGTCGGCAACTGTTACTCCAAATGGTTGAGTCCCAGTTGGATAAGTCACTTGGTTGTGAAAAGGTGTCATTTCCTGTATTCAAGAAAATAGTAATGCTTCGGTTCCGTGTGTTTCCAACAACAACGTCAGATTTATTATCTAAATAAAAATCTGCTACTCCATAAGTGACTTGTTTAAAAAAAAATGAAAATTTGAAATGAAAGGTGAAACCTGTATGATCATTTTATAGAAACACGATTTGCTGTCAGATCGAAAAAGATGAATAAGAAGGCATTTCTTTCTAGAATAGTTATATTTTGTTCTTTTATCGTTTTCGATTTAGTAATAAGAGTTGTTGTTCTTCTCGGCTGTTGAGATTTATTTTGTTTAAGGATAACTATTAGGACTAATATACTGATAACCAACATAGAGACAATAATAAATGATACTATTGCGCACATGACCTTTCTTTTCGGATTATACCAACATCTAATACAACAATTTACATTACTTTCGTCAATCAACATCACCTATACATACTTTGACAATATCTTTGTCGGCTCGTTTGTTGTCTCCGTCATCAAATTATAATCATCAGTTCAACGAGAAGACTAAAATACAGAATCAAATCAATCACACTTCATACTCTTCAGTTTGAAATCCTTCATGAGAATAACGCTCGTCATATTTCGTACTTTGTTTTTGTCTGTTGAGAAAAAGTGCAGAAAAACATAAAATGAATAGTATAGGTATATAATATTAAGAAATGTGAAATATGATGAAATATTTTGTATCTGATCTTTCATATTTAAGAGATTTCGAGGTAAGAAAGACATGTGTCATCAAACAAGATTTCACTTTCCATTATCAATGTATTTACACAACGTATTGAAGTCTGAACTGACGTCTAATACATGAGTAATAACCAACAATAACTATGTTCAAAAATCTGCCAAAAAGCGTCTTTTTCAGATGACCTCCAGCGGACTCAAGTAAATGAGACAAAAAATGTTGCACTTTCTAAATTTCATAATTTTTACCATTCCTTGTTTTCAAGACTCGAATTTTGAATAGATATCTCGACATTTTATTCGTGTATATTAGTCTTTCAAGAACTACGTTAACCAAGTTATCTGATGTTTTTTTATGAAAAGAAAATAAGTAGATAAGAGATAAAACTGAATATTTCTTTCACAAATGAAAACTATAAAAATTTATCAAGTAGATGCTTTTACTGATGAAATCTTCCGAGGAAATCCCGCTGCAGTATGTCCGTTAGACAAATGGTTGAACAATGATTTATTACAAAAAATCGCCGCAGAAAATTTTCTTCCTGAAACCGCATTTTTCGTTCGAAATGTCGATTCATCCAACAATGAAAGTTATGACATCAAATGGTTTACACCTGAAATTGAAATGGATTTATGTGGACATGCCACATTAGCTTCTGCACATGTTTTGTTCAATCATCTTCATTTAAATACAAATCGAATTATTTTCAATTCCAATAGTGGAAAATTAATTGTCGAAAAACAAAGTCATTTGATTATTCTGAATTTTCCATCACGAATGCCTATTGAAGTTGAGTTACCTGAAGTGATTCTCAATGGAATCGGAAGAAAACCAATGAAAACATTGAAATCGAGAGATTATATTTTAATCTATGAAAATGAAGATATGATAAGAAATATTCGACCAAATGAACAAATTCTAAATGAAATAAATCTTGATCCTGGAGGAATCATTGTTACTGCAAAAGCCAATGCAAATAATGATCAAATTGATTTTGTTTCGAGATTTTTCACTCCTCAATCAAGTATTTTCGAAGATCCAGTCACTGGTTCAGCACATTGTTCGTTGATTCCTTATTGGAGTGAACAATTACAAAAAACAACAATGATTGCTTTACAAATATCAAAACGAATTGGCAAAATCTTTTGTGAAAATTTAACTGATCGAGTTTTAATCAGTGGAACATGTCAAACTTATTTAGAAGGACAAATTTATATCAATGATCATGATGAATATTCTTTTCATGATAGAATTAAATAATACACACATATGTCATCAACATTTCTAGTATCAATTATCATAAAAATCGAAGTGTTTTGTTTTGAGAAATCATCAGTTGCCATCGTTTTGTATTATTTGCCTCTACATTAAATTATTTCATTTTTATCATGATTTCTATAAAATCAACTTTCATTGTTTCGTTAAAAATATTTTGTGATATTCTTCAGTTCGCCCACGGTTCAGCAAATCGTTTTCATTCGACAGCAAAGATGTCATTTCAATCGAACAATTACTTTTTAAAATACTTTCCAAAACTGTATTAAAGTCTTGACTTTCTTTCTTTCAGTGTTCAATTTCTCGTGAGACAAAAACTAAAAATGGCCCCCGGAAAATCTCCAAGTGACAATTCACAGTAAACAATTGCAAAACTTGATTGGACTTAGAATGTAAAACCAACGAGACGATGTTTTTTTTTCTGTTCTCCCTCATCATAACGCTCTGAAGCATAAAATTCGTCAAGTAAAACACGAACACGTTTTAGATAAACGAAAGTCATTTAGTACATCGATATGTCGACGAAAAAGATTCTTTTTGTTTTATCATCTCATGGTCAATTTCCCAATGGACATCCAACTGGTTGGTATTTACCAGAGGTAAACGAAAATGAAATTTCATTTAAATTCATATGATATTTTGTTTATTAAAGGCCGCTCATCCATATTATGTATTAGAACCTCATTTTACCATCGAATGGGCAAGTCCAAAAGGAGGAAAAGCACCCTTAGATCCTTCATCAGTCGAGAATTTCAAAGATGATGCTGAATCTAAACAATTTTTATCCGACGAAAAAGCCAAACAAGGTTATGAAAACACAAAAAAATTAAGTGAAGTCAACGCCAAAGATTATGAAGCGATAGTTTATGTTGGTGGACATGGTCCAATGTTTGATTTACCAGAGGACAAAACAAATATTCAATTAGCTGAAGACTTTTGGAAACAAGGGAAAATTGTATCTGCAGTTTGTCACGGTCCAGGAGCGATTGGTAAATGTAAATTTTATTTTCATCGAATATTTTTCGTTTGTTTTAGTTAATGTAAAGGATGAAAATGGAAAAGCAATTGTTAGTGGAAGAAAAGTGACTTCATTTGGGAATGAAGAAGAAGAACAAATCAAATTAACTGATGCCGTTCCATTTCTTCTCGAAACACGTTTGAAAGAATTAGGAGGAAAATTTGAAAAAAATGAAAAACCATGGGGATCACATGTTACTGTCGATGGACAACGTTTGTTTACTTCTTGTTTTCTATTCAATTTCTTTGAAATTTTCTCGTTTTTAGTTATTCTTGGCGCAAATCCAGCATCAGCTCATGACTTTGGCGTGGCCATTCTTAATGCTATTAACAAAAAATAAAGATTTTCATTTCGTTTTATTTAATAAGATGAGATTTTTTAGAAAGGAGCTCATTTTTACATCAATAGACTGGCCAGTCATATAAAAGAATTGATATTTTAGAAATACTACAGTAGATTTCTTTTTAACAATAAAAATATGTAACGGAATTTATTCATATCTGTTGTAACCTCATTGTTAGCAGAAGAAAGCTGTTCATTCGATACGCCTTTCTTACATAAGAAACTCTCAGCGCATTCTTGTAGAAATGCTCTTGTATGTAAATGATTCCCAAATTATATTCGTTGATATCGTGTTCCTTTTGGTTCGATTATTCTTCGGTCCACTTTGACCGAGAACAGTTTATTAACTTTCTCTTACTGACCAAAGATTCTCGCCCACTAGACGTTAATAGACTGCAGGACGAAGAATAACAGAAAGCTACGATCTGTATCGTAGCGACGGCACCAGAATTTTCTGAATATTTGAACAGACAATTCAATGGTTGAATTTCCCTTTCAAGTTTGACAATAATGAGAAATCGAAACATGTAGTTATTGTCTTTGGAAACTCTCGTTTAATATGACGAGTATTACTTACCCATGTGGAACAGTTATCTTTAACCAAATTCATAAAATTCATTCTATCATCACAGTACTGAAGAAAACAAATATTCAATAATACATTAAGTATCTCAATGAGAATTCTTGAGCATTAATTTATTTCTATTCTTTTTTTATCAGATAAATTGGTAATAAAATCATTGGATTTTCATATCTTCGATGAAAAAATCAATCAACAGTTTCTTTCCAGGAAATAAAAGACTTCCGAAATATTATTAGATGCAAATTCATCCAATGATATTTTAATGTTTTCCATTCGATTTGACATTAGTTCATATGAAATCCATTTAGATTTTGATGTTTCATTCGAAGATAATTAAGTTCTCTTCGACTATCAACTAATTTAACAACATCAGTCGGCATTATTTTCTCAGATAATAAAATATTTTTGATTAATTTATGTTGTTTCGTATCTTCTTCATTCTCAATAATCGTAACAAAGAATAAACTTTTAACAAAAAGAAATGTTTTTATTTTAAACGAATTCATCTGTAAAAGCCTTTATAGAAACAAAATCGTTTTTTCCTCATTGAGAAAACAAGATTAGTTCAGCATTGCATTGAATCTCATCTTTATATTTAAAAATAAGCCAAATTGAAACATAATTGTACAATGAAAATGTCTGTTAACGATAAAAATACATTCCTCGTTGTAAATACGGATAATTATATCGATTAAATTGTGTTCGATTAAATCCATTATTATTAAATGGAGTATTAAACGATGGAAAATAATAATATTGAGCTGGATAGTTATAATTTTGATTCGGTCGAATAGGAACATTTTCATTGGCAAGATTTCCTCCCATAGAAGCTAAAAAAGAAATAATTGAAAAAGAACTTTTCTTAACAAAAACTTTTTCTACTTGATTTTCTTAATAATGAAGGTATTTGTATTGGTTTACTTGTTTCCTTTTTTCTTTCATTTGATTGAACCGAAGATACAATTTGAACATCCTACATGAAATTCTTTTCAATTGAAGTTTTCAATAACCAAAACGAACCTTTTTCGTTCTCTTTACATTTGAATTGACGATATTCTGAAAAATGAAATTTTTCTCTATTAATTTCCAATGTCTTCGATAGAAAGTCGTCTTACCGTATTATTTCGAATAGAACTAATCAGTTTCTCTCTTTGTTGATGTCCAAGATCATTTTCAATGAGATTGAACGTATCATTATTCTACAAAATCAAATCAATTTCATTAATGAAATGAAAGAAACTTTTCAGACGTTTTTATTTTGTATCGCATCCGCAAATTCCTTTGCTTCGATATAACCGAGATTTACGCCAACGAGACAAAACGTTTGAATGCTCTATAAGAAAATTCAAGAAAAAGACATTTTAGGTTTCAAATATTCCTTACCGTATTTCTTCGTATTGCTTCGGCGAATTTTTCATCTTGAGACGATTCAATTTCATTTCCAACGAGACAAAAAGTATGAATATGCTAAGAATTTTTCAAAGTTCTACAAATCTTCGATACAAATCAAGTCTTACCGAACTATTTCGTATAATTCGAGCAATTTTTTCCGCTGGAACTTGATCAATCAAAGCTCCATCAACACTAACCGTATGAATATTCTACAAAATCAAATAAAATCTTTCGAAACAAATCTTCGCAATGTTAAATCCTCACGGGATTATTTTGAATTGCATCAATTAATCTTTCGATATCATAATTTCCAATATTAATATTAAATGACGATTTTTCTTTGCTTTTCTCCACTGTTTTCCCAGTAATACTCAACGTATGAATACTCTACAAATAAATCGCAACAATTTTATTTGAGAAAAAGAAAACAAAATTTGCTCTTCTTACTGAACTGTCTCGTATTGCATCAGCGAATTTTCCAACATCAGGAGATTCGATATTATCTCGAACAAGTTTAAATGTTTGAAAATTCTATAACAAAAGTGTTTTCGATCAATTTCGAGTCAACAAATAAATTTACCGAATTTTGAGCCAATGTATTGGCGAATTGTCCACTTTGAATAAGTCCAAGTTGATTTGCGTTAATCGCAAATGTGTTGATTTTCTAAAAGAAAAAAAACCAATTCAAATTCCTTTTTTCTCCTTCAAAGTGAAACAATTCGTACAGAATTTGCATTGATTATTTTATCTAATAATTCAACAACCGAATTGTTGATTTGACTTCCTAAAATATGAATTGTATTTATTGTCTAATTTAGAAAGAAAACAAATGAATATAAGACAATTCACATAAGAATCAAAGTTTGTCTTACAGAACGATCATTGCTTTTCATTGTAAAATTTCCCAGATGAGTCGATCGGATAAGTTGAATAGTCATTTTTAGAATAAAACAAACGTTTCTTTTAACAAGTGTCTAAACACAACAAAAACTGAAAAATATTTTTCATTCTATCGATCGTTATATAATGTTTTTTTTCAAAATTTACCTCTTTTTCTCTCTCTTGATGAGATATTTATCAGTAAAGTTACACTTTTAACTGTGGTTAATTAATTGCGAGTACGAGAGGAAAGAAAAATAAGTGATTTTGTTTGTTTCTTTTCAATTGGTTATGCAAGTTATTTGATGTTTACGAAATATTTTTTGCGTCGTAACCGATTAAACATGTTTGAGGAAAGAAAAATACTTCCCCTGATGATACGCTAAAACGACTGGAACCGAAATTATGATTCATTCAGAGATATTTCAATGGCAATTTCGTATAAAATTATGTCATGAGTTGAAAAACAAGTTTTTCGTCATTTTTGCATCGTAATAAAAAGTTTTGGCAAAGAATCCGATTCGATTTGAAACGAATTCAAACACTAAGAGACATTTTATGAATGACAAATTATCAACAAATGACGCCTGTCCTTTAAATTTATCGGTCAATTTCTGAAAGACTTGTGATATTATTACTCAATATGTTTCAAATGAGATAAAGATTTCTTCTAATGCATAATTCGATCCACTTATTCATTTTTGCGAAAGTTGGTTGCACCTACTTATACAACTTATGTGACGTTCTTCTTTTTATAATGGATCAGAAAGGTTTCGTCTCAGACTGATATTCTCCACCGTTCGTCAAATTCTAACGATGTCACTAATCTTTTCGTAGAAGTAGCAAATACGATTTGAAAGGAAAGGTTTATAATAAAACAAACATCAGATCCGAACTCCTTGACCCTGATAAATATAGTTACTTTCAAAATTGTCATTTGACAGTCTTGCACTTGGTCGTGCCACAATTGAATGTCAATTTATCTAAAAAAACCTCATCTATTTTCCGTTTCAGATGTATTCTTTAAATAAAAGAAATGTTAAGAAAAATTAAAAAAACTCTATGAATAAATCTCAAGATTAATATGTGTATCTTGTGTACCATGTGAACTCGAATGATCATCTGGAACAATATATCCTTGTCCAATAGGTACTCTACTACGATAATAGGAAATCAAGTCCGTATTTTGTCCACCTGTATAAGGTTCTGTTGCATCGAGAACATAATTTCCTTGCGAATCTTTAATTTAGAATTGATTCGGTGCATTAGAAAAAAGATTATCTTTAATACCAGTCACTATAAAGAACCATCGTTACTTGTAAAGACTAATAAACCATTATAACCTCTAATAAAACTTATATCAACAAATATCATATTTTGAAAAGCATTAAAATGAATTTCTGCCCATGTTGCAGGATCATTTGGTGCACTAGTTAATTTTTGAATTCGATCTTCCCATCGGTGATCAAGTTCAACTAATTGATTTTCGCCGGCTGAAATATCAATCGTTCTTTCAACGTTGAACAACGGTTGATAGGGACCGAGATTGGGAAAGAATCCGAGTTTTTTTTTCAAAGAGAGTTATTCCAGAACCGTTTGTACCATGTCGAAAATTGCCTGACCAACCATCGGGTAAATAATACATAAATCACCCACTAATGATTACCCAGATGGAATTATCGCTACTTGTTCTGATTGTGTATCATTTCTGGTTGCTACGAGATTTATTGCATGTTGTAATTGATTGATAAATTCTAGACTAACAGGCATAGTTGAAATAATAGAATGATGAATTGAATTAAAGATGAACTGTACGATTCATTTATACTCTTCTTTTCGGACATAGTATTCATCCAGAACTTTTTCACATTATTGTGCGAAAAATATCACGAAGTTATTCATCGTATGACGACAGTTGTGTGAAACAACGCGTTTCCCGTTTTTCTCTACTAATGACATGAGAACAGGGTGAAGATACAAGTAATCAAGTATAAATATCAAGAAGTATTTTGATTGAAACTTTCCTTACTTGATTTCTATTTCAATTGAAGATATGTCGAAAAAACGTGGAATTGCTTGGCCATTAGAAAATCATGAAGATCATTTGGACGTTTTTCCATCAGATCGGATCAAGCAAATATGGATCCGTATGAAGCTGCTCGATTGTGGAAAGAATTTATCGAACCATTAAGACAACAAGGAATACGTTTAGGCCCACCGAATATTTCAAGTACAGAAGAAGGTTCAAATTGGTTACAAACATTTTAAAATCAAGGTTGTCACATTGATTTTCTTGCTTTACATTGGTATGGTCATGGAGTAGATAACTTTATTAATTATATAAATAATGCTCGACAAAGATTAGGTTCTCAATATCCTGTTTGGATAACTGAATTTGCTTGTACTTCTTGGAATGCTAATGAATCTTTTCCGCAAGATGAAATTAATCAATTATTTGATCAGAGTTTAACTCGTTTAGATGAATTACATTGGATAGAACGATACTCATGGTTGGGAGCTATGCGATGTTTACCCGCAATCGATATCTAATTCAAACTCTTCTCTCTTGTTTTCTAAAAAGAAGATTTGTTTTATTCAAATCTACTCGTTTTCATGAACAATTGACATTCCACTATTTTATTTTGAAATAAAGGAATTTTATTGACAGAACTTTTGAATAAAAGATAAATGATTTCTAAATTACGAGAATCTTTCTTTTTTACGGGAAAAAGAACTAATATAAGAGGACAATTAATAATAAGTTTCTCTTTCGACCCAACCACCTGGATATCGTCGAATAATGTATTTTCGAACTTCATCATAAATTAAAATCAAGAAGAAATAAGGTAATGGAGTAAGCCACCAAACAAATCTATAATTGAGAATTTCAAAAACAAAAGATTTCGAACAAAATTCTGATTTCTTTTACTTCAATGGATAAGTATTCAATGCTGTATCTAAATATGGTGTATAAGAGATTATAGCAGCTAAGACTGTTTCAAAGACTAAACCAAAATTCAACATCCAATTGCTAAATAACAAAGATACAGAGATGAATTTATAAAACAAAAGAAATTCTTTGTTTTGTCATACTTCATTCCTTGTTTCAAAATTGAATTTTGTCGAGTTTTACAAACGATTAATACAGCCCATTGACAAACAACAATAGTAATAAAGAAAGCAGTATGACAAGTGAATTCCAATTGTTTACGTTGTTCATATGTCTAAATGAGATGAAGAAATGAAAGAAGAGAAAGAGAAAAGAGAAAAAAATCATTACCCATTCCTGTCCATAAGAATCTTCTAAATCATTAACTTCTCTCGATTCCCATGATTTTCTCAAGCCCAATAAACGTGATGGTAAAAATCCATTCTGTGCCATAATAACGAGATAAGTAAAGAAACCAGCACCTGCTTGAATTGGTCCAATTTGTCCATACGCCATTGAAATCAGACTAAACTCAAGAGATGATTTGAAAAATTCTTTTTTTTGTTCAAGAGAATTTACCGTTCATTAACGAGTCGATCATGTTTTGGATCTCTTGGTCTTCTTTTCATAATATCTGTTTCTGCTTGTTCATAAGCTAATGAAATAGCAGGAACCATATCTGTACCCAAATCAATACATAAGATTGTAATTGTTCCCAATGCTAAAGGTGTATCAGTAATCAAATACATTAAAAACGGAGTAATTTCAGGTATGTTCGATGTTAATGTATAAGCAATTGATTTCTTTAAATTATCAAAGATTAAACGACCTTCTTCGACTCCTGTGACAATCGACGCAAAATTATCGTCTAATAAAATCATATCCGCTGCTTGTTTACTAACATCTGAACCAGCAATACCCATGGCCACTCCAATATCAGCTTTTTTCAGAGCAGGTGAATCATTAACACCATCACCAGTAACAGCAACAATCGCTCCTTGTCTTTGACAACCTTCAACAATAATTAATTTTTGCTGTGGTGATGTTCGAGCAAAAACGATTTCCGAATGATTTTTTAATAGATCATCTAATTGTTCAGTAGACATATCTTTCAAATTAGTTCCATGAACAACACAGGCGCGTGCATCACGTGGATTAACATGTTCAATGGGAACACCTAATCGTAGAGCAATATCTTCAACTGTTTCAGATTCTTCGGAGATAATTCCAACAGCACGTGCAATGGCTTTTGCTGTTATTGGATGATCACCGGTGACCATGATAACCTTGATACCAGCCGAACGACATTTTGCCACACTAAATCAGGAAAAGGAAAGAAATAGTTTTGTGTTGAAACAAAAAATTGACGAACGCTTCAGGAACTGCAGCACGTGGTGGATCAATCATAGACATTAAACCAAGAAAACGAAGATTTTCCACGGGAAAATTCGCCTTTTCAGCATCAAATTCGAATCCTTGTGGGAATTTATTTGTTGGTAACCGTAAATCACAAAATCCTAAAACGCGTTCACCTAAACTTCCTAATTCCATATATGCTTGTTGAAATTCTCCACGCCAATCTATTTCATAAACGAAAACCAATTCGAAATTTCGACAAAATCTCGTGAAATAACTTTACAATCATTCATTTCAATATCTTGTCCATCGATAAATATTGTCGAACATCTTTCAAGAATTCTTTCAGGCGCTCCTTTCATCACCAATAAGTAATGAATGCGTTGATTTCCTGGATCCGTTCCCGTTCGCATTTCATGAATTGAGACTTGATATTTATTTGTTGAGTTGAATGGAATTTCACAAACTTTTCGATTTGATTCACGAAATTTAATCACATTTCCGATCTAAATCACATGTTTAACTTTCCCTCACTAAAACTTCGAAATATCTTACTGAAATTTCGACACATTTGAGCAGAGCTGATTCAGATGCATCACCATTACATTCACGTTGTAAAACAGGTAGAGACAAATTTTCCGGATCTTGTTTAAAATCTGCTCGATTACATAACATGGCGCAACGTGATAAAGCCAACCATCCAGCCGACGTTTTATCATATGTCACATCTAAACAAATCAATTTGATATTACAGATAAATTAGTTCGAGAAGAGAAAAACAAAATGACTTTGTTGATTTTCAGATGTATCAGCTTCAACAATTCGATTGTCGAACCACATATGAGCAACAGTCATGCGATTTTGTGTCAATGTTCCTGTTTTATCTGAGCAAATTGTCGAAGTTGAACCGAGAGTTTCTACAGCTTCAAGATTTTTCACTAAGCAATTCTTTTTCGCCATTCGTTTCGCTGTTAAAGTCAGACAAACCTTTTGAAAAGCAAAACAAATCATTTCTTTTTCTCAACGAAATCTTTCAAATCCTAACTGTAACAGTTGCTAAAAGACCTTCTGGTACATTGGCAACGATAATTCCAATTAAGAAGATCACAGCTTCGATTAATGGATAACCAAGAGCAATTGCAATGATGAAAAATGAAACACCAAGAAACACAGCAACACCAGTAATAATATGAATAAAATGAGCAATTTCTCTTGCAATTGGTGTTTCACCTGTCGATAATCCAGATGTTAAAATAGCAATTCGACCCATGACAGAACGATCTCCAGTACGAATAACAACTCCTTTAGCTGTTCCTTCAACAGCAAATGTACTTGTAAAAGCTAAATTTTTCGTTTCTAATGGATTATCGTGTGTTTTCTCAGCGGAACGAGATTGAGGTTCTGATTCGCCTGTTAATGAAGAATTATCAACTTTGAATCCATGTGCTTCCAAAATTCGAATATCGGCTATTTGAAAAATGAAAATGATGTGAAGAAGAAGAAGAAGAAGATGAAGACAAACCAGGAACACGATCACCAAATTTCACATGAACAATATCACCAACAACAAGATCTTCGGATTTCACATTCTTATTTTGTCCCTCACGTGTAACAATTGCTTGCTAAGACAAAAATCAGATCTCTTTTAAAAGACAAATGACGAGAAGCGATCAAAATTTTTACTTGTGGAACCCTAAAAATGAGGAAAAAAAGATGATCGTAGACAATGAAATAATTTCTTATTCATCTTACATGTCTTTGAACGAATCCATAATTCTTGAACTTTTTGCTTCTTGATAATATGAGAAACATCCAGTAATGACAACAACAATCGTTAAAGCAACACCAAGCCATAACTAAAATAGAAATATCGTTTCTTTTCAAATCAAAATCAAAGATAATCTTCCAAACATTATCATTTGGAGCTTCTCCATGATGTGTTGCAACAGTAATGGCATGTGCAACAAAACAAAGAATTGCACCTGCCCAAAGAAGCAAAGCGAAAAAGCCAAACATTTGTTTACAAAATTTCACCCATTCTGGTGTAGTTTTCGGTGGTGTCAATGCATTTTTTCCATCTCGAGCGAGAATTGCTGCTGCTTTTGCATCTGTTAAACCCTATAAACTCCAACAATATTTGTTTCAAATAACTTCTTTTCTTGTAAATTGACCTTCTCTGGATCTGATTCATATCGTCGAAAAAGTTCATCTAATTCGACATAATGATCATCCTAAATAATATATTTTTTGTTATGATGATAATAAAGGACCAAATGTCCTTGAAGGTAAAAACGAATCACTTACGATTTCCAATTCTTTTTTCAAATCATCCATATCAGCAGCTTTTTTATCCATTTTGGCTTTTCTCTTGGAAACTTTCGTTTGGCCTTTTTTTGTGTTGGTTTCCTCATCATCTTGATTATCATTAGATCGAATCATTTCGATTTGTTCGTCCACTTTCCCAGCGGAACCCTACAAAAAGAGAAGACAAATATTTCTTTTTCCAAGTCAATATTCTCAAACAAACCATAAGAAGTTGATTTCTCTGTGAGTATTATATGATATATAGTAAGTATATTTGATTCTATCAAGGATATGTGAAAAAAAAGAAGATGAAAAACTAAATGGTTACATTTACTTTGATTTATAAGTATTGATATTTCTATTGACGAATGTTTCATGCCTGAGTAGTCATTATGATATTATTTAACAAAATATGTACGTCGATAGTCATCATTAAAACCACGGTCTTTTTCTTGTTCTCTTTCATTTAATGTACAAAAGATATTTATCATATTTGTACTTAAGAATACTCAACGATTTCTTTTTCACATTTTTCTTCTTTTCTTTTTTTGACAAAATCATTTTTCTTTAATGATATTTAGTTTAACAATTTCATCAAAAACACTTCATTTAATGTCAATACGAATGTTTCTTTTGAGGAACATTCTCTCGAACCATTTGCCCTTTGTGCGTAATGTACTCAAAGTAAATTCTGTTTTTCTCGTTCTCTCTCACTTTCACTTCATATTTTCCGTTTATGAAAAAACCCAATGTGTCTCATACTCAACATTCTTTGATAATGATGAAAACACGAAAAGATACATTCCAAGATTATTTCAATTCTTTGAAAAGAGAACTGTATGTTGTATTCGTAAAGATTCGTTTTTGAGTATAATTAATTCATGTAGTTTGTTTGAAGAAAAGAAAAAAGAAATTGTCCGATGATGAAACGTTTATTTTGTTTGTACTAAAATAATCTTGAAAATGAACTGACAAAGAAAAGAAATGGAAAATTAGAATTGCCAAAGAATTAAATGCGCAAGAGCATCATCTTTTCCTAAATTCTCATCCAAATTCTGATAATCATCGAATCCATCTCCAATTGTCATGAGAAATCGTTTGAAATTTTCATTTCGAAAATTGAATTTGTCCATTGAAAGACAAAATCTCACAGGACCAACATGACCATAAGATAAACTTTTCAATTGAATTGAATTCAAATTGAATTTATTTGTTCCATGAATCGATAAATTATCAACTAATTGTGGAATTGTTAAATTAAGAAGAATTCCAGCACTTGTTCCAATCCATAAAGTTTCTTTACAAATATTCAATGTACTAATATGAAGACAACCTAATTTATGTGCACGAATAATATCATCACAAACTACAAATTTACATAACAATTCTTTTTTTCTCTTTCAATGAATCGAAATTACTTTGTAATTTTTGTGCGACAATTGTTCGAATACTTGTTTCAAATAAACAATTTAAATTCGTTGCATGATAAAGACGAATTTCATGTGAACCTTGTGATGTTATCCAAACATGATGCATTAATGATCCACCTGTAACCATACAATGAATATGTCGATGACAATCATCAACAATAAATGAATGCTAAAGAAATTTTGAAAAGAAAAGATTTTTCTTTGGAAAAGTTTTTACTTGAATTTGTAATGAATTTGTACAAAGAATGAAGATTCGATCACGTAATGCACACCAAAGTTTCCCAGCAGCAATTGTCATAACTGAAATTGGATCATTCGAATCTTCATCAGAATATTCATTTAACGTTTGATTTGATATTTCATTATTTTCATCAATACTTTCAATAATTGGATTATCCAAATCCCATTGTTGATCTAAACAAATGAATTTTATTTGAAAATTTCTTTCAAAATTCGTTTTCTTACTGATATCTCGTTTGAAAACAGCTAATTGACCATGATTTAATGCCAAAAAGACTTTATCTTCAAAATATCTTTACAAAAGAAAAAGAAAGAAAACATTATTGAGGAAAACGATTTCTCTTTTAAAAAAGAACGAACAGAATTGAATGAATTGACGAATGAAATTGTTTAATAATTCGATTTTTTCTTCCAAAATCTTTCATTGTCTGTGAACAATCATAAATAAATAATCTAAATTTGACAAATTAATATCGAGAAAAGTTCCGAACGTTTTCTCCTTACTCTCCATGAATAGTTCCAATCCAAATCATATCATTTGAATAATCATGTTGAATTGTTGATTGATGAAGAGATTCTTGTTCATCATCACTCGAATCAAAATCCAAAGATTCATTTGAATTTAAATTTGTTTTTAAAAGTAATGATTTGTCTCCCATATCATTAAAAGGAACATAACAAATACAATTAATCTTCGATGTTGCAATTGAATTCAAACTTTTCACTGTTAAATCAGATTCATAATTAATTAAACAGATTTCACCTTCCGTGTTACATAAACAAATTTCATTGAGATATGGACGAATAATTCCACAAGTGTACTAAACGAACAGATTTAACGAAGAAATTTGAAAAAGAAAAGACGAACTTGACTTCCTGGTCGATGATGAGGAAGAGTTAAAGCGTGTTCAAAAGTTAAATTTCGTCGTCCAGTTAGATTTTCAACTAAACATTATTGAAATTAGATTGACAAATAAGAACAAAGGAAAATGTTTACAAAGAATCTTTTTTGCGTCGAGAAAATTGTTTTCCCACAAAGTTTTTTGTTCAATTGTTGAAAATATCACATTAATTGTTTCTGTAGAATCACTGAAATAAATCAAATGAAACAATTTTTTTCCAAATTAAATCTTTTCTTTTACTTTGTAGTTAAAATTAATTGAATATTCGTTGATTTTTCCTCCGAAATATTCGATGGTTCGGGACTTGCTTTTCGTAAACTAGTCGTTTCATCAAGTAAATGTTTATTTACAATTTCAACTGTTTCTTTTATTGAATCATCTAATTGCTGAAAAATATCGAAGATTTGTCAATGAAAGTCAAATGAGAATTTCAACAAACTTGATGAGAAACTGTGATTGTTCGAGATAAATCAGAGATTTGTCCCAGTGTTATTAAATCTTCTTCGAAATGACGTTTATTGTCCGTTAATGTACTTGTCAATGAATGAGATTTTTTCAATGACGGTGGAGTTGATATTGACGAACGAGATTTTTTCAAATGATCTTAATTAAATATTAAACAAAGAAAACAAAAAGTGACTTTGAATATCAATGAAATCTTAACTGTCTATGAGAACTTCTTTATCAATTTCAAGTTAAAATGATCGATTTCAGTTTTCAAACGATTCATTAAGAGAAATTAGAAATGACATTTTGCTGATCTCACAAGTGTTTTTTTTCCTGTAATTTCAAAAAGTAAATGTCTTACATGAAGCTAGTTCAATGTTTTCAATTGAGATTTTCATAATTAATTTATGTTTATTGTTTTCAATGTATTGTTTTCCCGATGGTGAATTTCTGAAATATAAGAAAGAATAATTCGGTTTATCCGATAATGAAATGTTACACAATAAATGAATTGGTTGATTTTTTTGTTGATGAAACGTTTCTTCGTTTTGAACTTGTGATGATCATTAAATCATTGAAGAGAAAAATTCCTCGATCTTTTTTGAAACCTGATGCTGATTGAATAGTTACAATATCATATGAAATATAATATCTTTCATCATTAACTAACTGAAAAAAGTCAATAAATAGAAAGAATTTGTTAAAATCGAATGATTTACATCTTTTAAATTCTCAATCAAATCTTGAAGAGTTTCCAAAGCATTTTTATTCAAATTTAATTCAGTTGATCCAACTTCTTTTTGAACTTGATCAATTTGTTCAGCTAATGAATGAATTTCTAATTGTGCTTTAAGCATCAATTGATAATCTGGATGATTTATATTTGTACATTTAAGAAAATCTTTTAAATATAATTCATATCGTGGAATTCGTTGCACCGGTTGTATTAATAAATCATGTAATGTTAATTTACCACGATGATCACGTGCTTGTTGTTCAAGAAATTTATTAAATGATGACATTTCACGACAAGTTCCAATTGCCATTTGACTTGTTTTATAATTATTAACAAAACTTGTATAAGTTTCAATCACTGACATTCGAGTGAACTAAAGCAATGAATTTCAAAAGAAGGTCGTTTTTGAAGAAAACTTTCATTTACCATTTGTAATAAAAGATCGCCAACGGTTTGTTTATTATCCCATTGAGTTAATTTTTGAGAAAGGGAAATTAGAAATGCCTAAAAGAAGAAGATGATGATGATGATGAATTCTTGAAAATGTAATTCTGTACGGTATGATGAATATGAATTTCGGGAATTTTGTAGAAAATATCATTGATCAGATCATTCGAAACGATATTTTTATCTTTCATTGGTAAATAATATTTCTATAAAATGAAAGGATTAGTTTTATTTTCAATCGAAGAATTTCTTTTTTTTTGTACCGTAACAAGATTTTTCAATGCTTCAACATAAGATTTCTCTGTATCGTACATTTGCAAAGCAATTGCTTTTCTCTTAGCCTAAAAAAAAGAGAAAATAGAAAGTCAATTCGTGTTATTAAGAAATCAAATGACTTGACGAGAAACTGATTCTTCTTGTGGATCGGTATGATGACGTCTTTTACAATAAAAATTCCAATTTGATTTGAATTTGTTTGGATCAATAACAACAGTTTCTGCTCGAGTTCGAGAAGAATTCTTTGATCTATCTTTGTCTGACATTCCCTTCAAATTCTTTTCTCTAATAGATTCAGATAGACGAGAAAACGACAGAATTTTATCTCATCTATTGATAGAATATGTTGGTAGAGTTATATGTCATCATAAATCTAAAGAAAAGCAAATGTATTTACCTCATTTTTGTCATCAATTGTGACATTTGATGTAGGAGGAGTTCCATTAGAAATTGATGTACTATTTAAACTAGGAATACTTGTTGATAATGTTGAATTATGTTCGATTGTTAAATTTGATTGATCAGATGGAATTAAATGAGGTGTTGATTGACATGTTAAACTATCATTAGACGATATTCCTTTAAAATCTGTATTTATCAAATCAGTTGGTTTAGGAATTGTATGACTTCGTGTTATTCCATTTCGACGAACATTTGTTGGACTTGATGTTGAACATTCGAAATTATTAATTGGTTCCTCAATTAAAGAAAAACAAAAGGATTTTGTTAAGAATCGATAAAAGAAGAATTGTCAAACTTGAAATTGTTTATGAAGAACTTTTGGTTGAAAAGGAAGAAAAGATTTGGGTGGTAAAATATTTGTTGATGATTCTTTCAAAGCTTTTTCTTGATTTAATAAAGCTAAAAGTGGACGATGATAAATCGGTTGTTCGATATTTTCTTCAATTGAAGATTTTGTTGGAGAAATTGTTTGAATCTTTTGGATAAATTCATTTTCATATGGTGATGAACTCACACTAACACGAATACTTTCCAAACGATTATTCGAAACTAAACAAATAATTGAAATTAGAAGAAAAAAGAAGAAGAGATTTTAAGATAAACTAACTTGATGATTGATTTGGTTGATGAATTTGAACTTGATGTGGCGATGAAGGTTTTTTTGTTGAATAAATCAAATTTTCTTCTCGAGTTTTAATTTCTGTTTTTTTCTTAAAATTCGTATTTTCAATTTCTAAGATTTTCTTCTTCTCAATATTTAATCCTCCATCTCGTGATGGATTTGTATGATGATGTGATTTTAATGCTAATGAATCTGTTGATGACATCGAAAGATTTCGAAGGAGATTATGAACTCGAATTAATTGAGAATTTCTAAAAGAAAAATATTGAAAAGAAAATATTCGAGAAAGAAATTTTTGTTACTTTGGATTTGTTTTATGAAAAGATTCATGTATTGTTCGTTTTAATTGAAATAGATTTTGATTTAATCGTGCGAAAGAATGATGAATTTCAAAAGAATCAGAAAATAAATTTAATTTTTGATGATTTTCAAAGCGAAAATATCTTAATTGATTTATTCGAGATTTTGAAAGATTTTTCGGATAAGAATTGATTGATAAATAAATCTAAACGAGATTGTTCTTATTTCACAATATTTAGAAAAGAAAAGAAGATTTGTTATTTGTTATTAATAATAGGAAAAGACAATCTTTTTTTTTCTTTGGATAAGAAAGAAAAAGAAAGAAAACATGTTTCTGTCTTTTCTTCTAATCATTCGTTCTGTAACTATAATAGATTAACAAATGTCGATACATATGCCAACCGTATAGAATTAGAGACTCTGCTTATCCAAAAGTATTGTAAAGAAAACGGACGATTGTAGAAGAAGGACATAAACATGATTCTCTTTTCTTCTCCGTCTATGCCATTTACAATCAGACTGATTCTTCTTCCTTCTTCCTTCTTCTTGTTTTATCTATTGATGATGAGCTAACAAAGAAGAAGAAGAAAAAGAAACAAGCAATCGCTTTTGGCATCGGTGTGTTCTTCATCAGAATAAATACGACATCATTCATACTCAAAAGAATTCCTTAATAAAGAAAGAATAACATTCGCAATAGATATCTATTTGTTAACATATACAAATCAATTATCTTTTTTTTTTGTGTTTTCTATTTATTTCAAATACTTTCATTTTTCTTTTCTTTTTCAAACAAAATATCGAAATCAATTCTGAGAAAGTTTCTTAAAGAATATAAAAGAAATATTTTGTTATTTGAATGTTGATTGACATACATATTTTGACGACAGTCTATAGAACTCATCATATACATACAAACATATCTTTCTTAGACTAAGATTAACGAGTACAAAAATTAACCTTCTCTTCTAATTAAAAAGATAATTTATATTGACTTACGGAATATTTCTCATGCCAATTTAAATTAATCAAATGATAATAAGTTTCCATATCATTATTTGATAAAAATAATCTGGATAAATTTAAAATCTTATCAATAGAATTAGTTACCAGAGGTAATTTATTATTTAATATAAATTGTTGATCCATAATTGTTCACAAGTGTCTGTTTATATAAGAGATATTTTCTTCTGAGGGATAAACATACATTTGTGCTATTATGATACTGATCTTTATTCTTCAAGGCAAAATAAGAAAAAGAAACAATCTAATGTTAGCAAGTGTCGATATATGAAGATATATTTATATTTACTATCTTATACAATGTTATCAGACAAAATGTCACAATACTTACACTTTCTTTCATCAAAGAAATTCAAATTTTCTCTTCAAAAGATTTCTAATCAATGTGTTTCACATAGATTAATAATTTGATAATAGATAGAATACTTATTTCTTCACATTTTTTTTATCTAACATCTTTTAGTCAAATCAATTTCAAATAATGTGTCGATCATAATTAGTAATACATATATACGTCTCCATTAGAAGTAATTGAGACATCTGGATATATGAACAAAGAGATAAATGGAAAATCGTCATGAAAGAATATTAGTTAATTCGTTATCTTATCTTTCTTTTTTCTCGTCTAATTCTTGACAAAGATGCAAATGTGCAACTAAATCGAAGAAATCGGAATCATTATTAAGATCTTTTTCTGTTGTGTATCAACTATAAATTAAGATAGTTCGGTATGGAACATGTAAATTATCAACGATATGTGTTCAGATGATTTCTTTTTAAATGTAGAAATCATCTATGAAAAAGTTTCGTTACATTTGCTCTTACAGTTTTCAAATACATTGTGAACAAACAAACAAACAAAATATCTTCTTCATATAAACAGATTACTGAGAGTTCATATTACCTTTCAAGAAATGTCAATTAGAATGTATTTGATATAAAACAATTCGATAAATATTCAGATGAATAATATAAAGAGTTGAAAAACGCTTATCCATTCTTATAACATGAGATCAGAAACATGTGTTTTTCATTATCATGAAAACGACATTCTATTGGTAAAATATATTCAGCTTATGAAGATCTTCTAATTTCATACTCTGTTCGATTTTAGATTTTTTTCTGATATTCTATAATTATTATGTTATTTATTTGTTTTATACCATATATTATTCAATTGAAATAATCATCTTATTATAATGATACTTTTCGTCGGTTTAGTTATGAAATATACGCATTTTACTCTGATTATTCATTACTGTCAACTTAATGGAAATAGGCAAAATTTTACAACCATTTTCTCAACTTTGGTCATATTCGAATTTCTGCACTTTTCTTTCGTTTTTTTTCAGCAAGGAGTTCGTATGAAACAATCGATGCAATGGAAAAGACAAAGAAAGATAAATACTCAAGTCTTATCAATCGTTATTGTCTTTAATATTTTTTTAATTTTCATAGACAATTCTACAAATTTTTGGTTTATTTGGTCTATCGTCAGATTCACTACAAATTATTCTGAATACCATGTTTTTCTTTGGTTGTTATGTTATATTCCTCTTTCCATATATTTGTTTAGGAACAATATCTGAAATTAGTTAGAAAATAGAAAAATGATTCCCTCGACTAAAAGGAGGGCCATGTCGAAAAAAAGTGGTCAAAAAACGGAAATTCGTTTGTGTGCGTGTGTGTGTGTCTGTCGCAGATCAAAGGTCAAAAAACCATTTTTTCCAAAAACGGTCAAAACTGCATAAAACATGGTTTGGGAGGGTGGATGTTGCCAAGGGGACTTGGAGTTCAGCGTCAAAAAGACATTTTTTTCGAAATTGAACAAAACGTCTGAAAATATGGTTTGGGAGGGCTGTTGATGGTGGATGTTCGTTGGAGAAAGCATCGAGATTAACTGTGATAGCGAAGGCCGTCTGAGCGCTCCCAGAGAACACTCCACGCGTGGTATACATTTATGGATGTTGCAGTGGCTACAGAGAATCGATGTAGTCAATCAGTAGCAATGAAGGCTTTGAAAAGATTGAGATCAACCTCGACTGTGGATCCGAGTGAAAGGAAGGGCGAATGAGAAGATGTAATCTATAGGCTGACGTGTTAAAGTGGCAAGAATGAAATCTATAAATGAACGACTGGAATGGAGAATAAATATCAGAGTAAGAGAAAATTAATCAAACTCCTATTGCAGAAATCAGATTCAGTGACGTCTTTGCATACCAAACTGAAACTTTAACTAGTTTTAATGCAGCTATAACCCTTTCTTTCAGAAAAGGCAATAGAAAAATGAAGTACAAGTCGTAATCGTAAGTGACTTTCTTAAATCTTTTAAAAATCAGTATAAACAACAGTTGCAACCGTTAATGATATCATCTGTTATTGTTCTCCATCTTCTCTCTCTCTCTCCTCTGCTCTATATAAGCGTGTGTCTTATTGTGAAGTGGACACATTCTGCATATGTGAGTAAGCTCAATAAACATCTATGCCGTGAGAAGCGGTCTGCTACTCAACCAGTTTGTCGTTACAACAGTCAATCTAAAATGGATGATATATTGTGCCCAGTTTTCGCTCTTTCGCCTCCAATAGTATGAGTATGATGTTTACTCTTTATCTATCGTTGTCCGAAAAGAAGGTAAAACATTGAAAAAAAATATGGCGTCGTTAAGCATCCAAAACATCACGCGAGTGAAATTTTACTCAGGTATTCCATGTCGACCTTCTCTTGGATCTGAAGAAATACTATGGGAAGGTTGAATGCATAGCGAAGAAATAAGTCTTCTTCGTTATATATATATATATATAGATTTTAAATTCAATTGAAATTATTCTTTTGTGATTAATTGTCAAGAAAGATTTATTATGAAGAAAGATTTATCAATTGAGCAGAGTATCAAAGATTTGTTTCTTAAATGCTTCGAACAGTTCATAAATGTAAAAGGTTTTGTTCTTATTCTGAAGGAAAAAAGCGGAATCTAAGTAGGGGGAAAAGGAAAAAAGGGCGATCAATTTGAGTTTGTCGATGCCCTCGAAGAATTTTATTTTGGAAGAAGTGGAGCAAGATTTGGAAACTTCATTTGAATAAATTGATTAAATTGTTGTCGAGCATCTTCAACTTTGACTTTATCGTTTTGTAAATCAGTTTTAAATGCAGCTAATAAACCATAAAAGAAATTAATGCATCCTTGTTCGCCGCTTAATAATACCTTTTGATTTGTTGTGTTTGTTACATATGCAACCGAATTCGGAAAATTGGTTGTTCCTGCACCAGTACTGTTCAATGCAGCTGTCAATTGTTTTAAAAATGCAGTTGTTGTTGCTTTATTTGCTGTAACCGTATTGCAAACCGTTGTAAAAGGAGGTGCAGTTGTATGTTACACTTGCTGCATTTGTGTAACAAACAATACCGAAGATAAGACAGAGCTACAATGAAGATCGTAGTACAATTTTATTTTCCTCATTTATACTTACTGCAAGATTACTTTTGTTCATTGTGCTGATTGAGAAACTATTTTTTGTGTTTGATGCGCATCTATTTATATGAAACGGTACGTTCTATTATTAATATCATGGACGTCATTATGTGTTGCAAACCAAGAACGTTCTCATTATGTACTTTACCTTGGTAGTGGAAATCATGACTTTGATTAGTATTTTTACAGAAGTACAATCGATGATCTTGCACACTTTTTTTTAATATAACGATTCATTAGAATTTTGCAGTGCTTTCAAGAATGTTCTCTTTATGTAACTTACGTAATGACCTACATATGGTCGACTTGTGATTTCTGAAATAGTAGAGTAAAAATACTTTCAAGGTGTGATGGTGCGGATGCGGATGTGGGTAAGAGTAAGTGTGAATAAATCAATATTTTCTTTGATTATCTATACCATCAATGGCTATGACGAATGGCAGTTAGAAGGAAGCTCAGCTTTCGAGATCGTCGTCGAATACGATCTTTAGTCAGTCTATGCATGAAAATATTTGTGTCACCGAGACTTTCAAGTGGCTCAAGGTGAGTTGATAGCAAATTGAACTTTGCAGTAAGGTCAAATTACATCCACCTTTTTATTAACGAACTAACTGAAAGCGTTCTCTACTACATATGATATATGAACCAATTCATTGGCGAATAAAGTACAACTGATATGAGCAGCAATCGATTACCCAGGTGATTCAATCCGACTGGTGGATCGTGTCGGATTATATAGAATTACATCGGGAAAATGACTGGATTTTATCGGATCCGATGGGAATCCGTCGGAGTTTGCCGGCGTCCTAACCACAGGATTCCGATAGGCGGTTCTAAATGTCGGAATGATCATGATACTGCGGAATTCTGGAGAATCCGACACTTTTCAACATCTGGAGCCGCCTGTCGGAATCCTGTGGTTAGGTTTCCGGGAACTTCCGACGAATTCCCCATCTGATCCGATGGGCTGAGTTTGACCTGGGATATATCGATACACAACGGTCTTAGATGCAATGCATTTGTTATTGATAAAAAAGAACTTCGAACAGTGTCTGATAGTATATGACTACAATTTATCTATTGAGAGTGAAAGAATATTAGCAATTGTAACTGTACACATACTTCTTTAAGAGTTTTTGACCTTCTATTTTCTAGTGTAGACACACGATCTATATAATCTTTAATTAGTTTCGTTCATTTTAATAACTAAAAAACTGGAAAATAGGTAAAAAGATGCATTGATCTACTAAAAATTATGATTAAAGAAAAGTGAATGATCGTTTTCAATTGCTTGGGCAAGTTCGATAATTGATAAATGATTGAAAAAGAAAGAATTAGTAATTCGAGCTGAAATTTCTTTTTGTAAAAGAGTGATTGTTTGTAAAGCCATAAGAGATGTTCCGCCCAATTGAAAAAATGATTTATTTAAATCATTGTCATCAATTAAACATTTAAGAATACGTGAAAACACATCTCGAATAGTTTTCACAAACGATAAATTTTGTTGATTAGTCGAATTATTAGTTATATCAATTGTAATCTGATTTAGATTGTTTTCTTCGAATAGACTTTTATTGAATTCGATTATTTTTCCTAATGGCTTTTGTAATTGTTGCTGATTGAATGATCCAAATAGTTGAAATAATAATTGATTAAAATTGTTCGCATGTTCTTCAACAGTTTCTCTATCAAATACTTCAAACATATACGCCCAAACACAATTTATAGTTGAATTGTTTTTATCATAAAGAAATGAAAGATCTAAATCAAACATAAAACCCATTTGATGATCTTCATCTTTTGTTTCATATGTTGATAAAGAACATGTTTCATCAAATTTCATTTTTTCCATATTTGTGTAATCGATGACTGTTGTATTGACAGCAAAAAGTGTTTGTAAATACGGAAATTGTTGATAAACAGTTGGTTTTCTATGTAAATTGATTAATTGGTCATAAGGTAAATGAGAATATTGAACAGTTTGAAGAAAAATTTGTTGAACTTGATGAATAAGTTCGGAAAATGAAATTTCATCGAGATTAGTCAATTGAATTCGACATGGAAGAATATTCGCAAACATTCCAATCATTGAAACTAGTTCGGATCGATATCGATTCATATGAATAACACCAATACATGAATCGCAATTCTCAAATGAAATTTGAGCAAGAAAAAGATAAAAACATGTTAAACCTATTTGAAATAAAGTTACATTTGATTGATTTGCATATGAAATCATTGCATGAGCAACGGAATTTTCTATCGGAAAAGTCATTTGTTCTCCTCGACCATTGCGATGGGTGAAAGAAATGTTTTTTCTCTGACGTAAATTTAATTTTTGATNAATAACACCAATACATGAATCGCAATTCTCAAATGAAATTTGAGCAAGAAAAAGATAAAAACATGTTAAACCTATTTGAAATAAAGTTACATTTGATTGATTTGCATATGAAATCATTGCATGAGCAACGGAATTTTCTATCGGAAAAGTCATTTGTTCTCCTCGACCATTGCGATGGGTGAAAGAAATGTTTTTTCTCTGACGTAAATTTAATTTTTGATGATAAGGATAATCTGTTAATAAATCGTTCCAAAAAGTACGTGCTTCAATCATTGGTAATTTTCTTTCATAAATCGAATAATCAATATATTGAAGGGAAGGTGTTTGTAAATCGAAACCTTGATAAGATAAAAGAAGTTCACCAAGAAACAAATCAATTGCTCGTCCATCAAATGAACCATGATGAAAAATAAATAAAATAAAATCATTTTTGGATAATTCATTTGTTTCATTATACCGAATGAAATGACATCGAAATGCACTTTCATGTTCAGTATCAAATGGTCTCCACATTTCTTCATGTAACAATATTTTTTCTTCTTCTTCATTATCAATAGTAGTAACACGAAGAGGATAATTGATTTGATCATCAATGATTTGACATAAAAGATTATTTGTGACATCAAATTTCAATTTTGTACGAAAGATCCAATGTTTCATAACAATTAAATTGATTGAATGAATTAATCGATCAAGTAATAAATGACCAGAATCGATTCGAAAGATTTTACTCAAATTATAAGTTGGTAAAAGTTTATCATCATCGAAAAGACGAGTTCGTTCAGCTAACCAAACACTCATTTGAGAAAATGATGCAGGACCTTAATAAACAAAAGAAATCAAATGATTTTTCGAGAGATTTTCTATTCATATGAATGACCTTGTTTGATATTCAAAGGAAACCAAATTGATTCGATAGTTAAGCATTGATTTTGTAAGAGATGAACGTGTTTTGCAATTGTGGTTTGAGAAAATAAATCGTTGATGTTAATCATTTGATGAAATTGTGTTTGATACAGGTGATGAAGTCGCATAAGAAGAAGAGAATGACCACCTAATCGAAAGAAACTCACATTCACCGACGGAATCGATTCTAAATGAAGAATTTTGCACCAAATTAATGATAATTGTTGTTCCAGATCACTACGAGGTGATTTATCAAGAATAGCATTGGAAGATTTTGAAAGAAGGGAAAAATCTGGTTTAGGTAAAGCTTTACGATCTAATTTTCCATTGGAATTCAATGGAAATTGATCTAAGCGAATAAATAATGATGGAACCATAAATAAAGGTAAATATTTGAGACATTCATCACGTAGTTGATCGAGATTTAAATGTATTTTCGATTGGATATAAGTAACAAGATGTTCATCATTATTATGAAGAGATTTAATAACAATACAATTTGTAATTGTTGATGAAGATTTCATGAGAATTGATTCAATTTCACCAAGTTCAATTCGTTGTCCTCGTAATTTAATTTGAAAATCATTTCGACCAATATAATGTAAAGTTTGAGATTTCGAATCAATACGAACTAAATCACCTGTTCGATAAAAGAAATCTTCATGATTAAATAAACGAACAAGAACTTTTTCAGTTAAATCAAATCGATTGAAATAACCTTGAAATACTCCGTGACCTCCAACGAATAATTCACCTACTTGATGATCAAATACAATTGGTTGAAAATAATTATCAAGTATATAACATTTATAACCAGGAAATGGACAACCAATTGGAATAGTTTTACTTTCCAGATCAACTGGTGTAACACGATGAAATGTACAATTCAAAGTGCATTCAGCTGGACCATATAAATTATACAAATGACATGTTTTATTGAGAAATTTCGAAATCAATGAAGCGGTTTGTGGTGAAAGAATTTCCCCTGAAGAACATAAACATCGAACACTAATTAATATCGATTGATTTTTAACAAAATCATTTAAATATTGAGTAAGAGCAGAAATAACCGTTGGTACTGTACTTAATGCGGTTATTTGATGTTTTTGAAAAATTAATGTCAAATAATTCATATCAAGATTTCCTTTTGGTTTTAATAAACAAAGTGTTGCACCAATCCACAATGAACCAAGAATATCTTGCATATGAATATCAAATGTTGAAGGAGTTATTTGAAGTATTGTATCATTATGTGTCATTATGGATAATTGTTGAAATGATTCTATATATAAATGAAAATTTCGTTGATTTATTGGAATTGCTTTTGGTTCTCCTGTTGAACCACTTGTAAAAACAATATAAACGATGTTTTCTAAACAGTCTGATTTGATTACATTTGGAACGAGACTCATCGATAATGAAAGAATATTTTCGATATTAATTTCATTGGATTTGATCAAATGAGTTGTTCGATGATGAGTTAAAACATATTTGGATTTCACTTGATTAATTAATGAACAAATTCGTGTTGATGATTGATCTGGTGAAACAGGACAATATGAACCACCACACATTAAAATTGATAATATACCGATGATCTATATGAAAAACAAATTCTTTCGAATATTTTCTATTTATTCAGAAAAAAAGCAAACCATTTCGATTGATCGATCAATACATTGAGCGATTACATCACCCGATTGTACTTGATATTGATGGATGAGATGATGTGCGATCATTTGGGAGAAATAAAATAGTTCAGCATATGTCAAACATTGATCATCAAGAATAATTGCTAATTTTTGATGATTTTCTTCAGTTCGACGTGTAAATTGTTCCGTTATTGAGAAAACATTTGAAGGACAAAGTAATTTTGAACTTATATTGAATTGTTTAAGTAAATCCATTTCATGTGATAACAAAACAGAAAGTTCACAGATGGGGCGTGACCAAAATGAAGAAAAGATTTGATTTATCAATAAATGAAAACGATCAGTTATTAATTGAATTGAATCACATTCAAACAGATCACTAGACGCACATAATGCAAATTTAATCGTACGTGTTGAAACATTATAAATCATAGTACATGTTATGTCAAATTTTGCAACATTTTCAACATCAGTGTTTGCTAATCTTAATGGACAAAGAAAAGTATCAGAATCAACTTTAACTTTATCATCATGATGAGTTTCAACAAGAAATAATGTTTGAAGAACATTGTTTTTGATGGCATCGGATATAATATCTTGATAAGGCAAATGAGAGTAAGACAATGTAGTAAATGCCAATTGCTTCACATGTTCAACCAGACGTAGGAGCGTTATTTGTGGTTCAACAATTAATCTACTTGGTAAGGTATTTACAAAAATACCAACGAGATTTTCAAGTTCAGATCGTTGTCGATTGGCTGATAAAGTTAAAATGCATAAATCTGTTTGTTGAGTGAGTTTAAATAGGAACGTATAGAAAATAGTAAGACCAAGCTGATAAAGAGTTATCCCAGATTCACTCAGATAATTTACTATTTCCTTAACGATATTCATTGGAACTTCAAAAGTTTTTGTAATTCCTCGACCTGATCGGATATTGTTTATGTCGGAAAAATGATCATAAGGCAATTGGAGATAATGATAGGAGAAACCATTTAAATGTTCTTTCCAAAACTTTTTCTCTTCCTCCATATTGATACGTTTTTCATACATTGAATAATCAATATAATCGAAATTATTCATCGAAAGATATTTCTCCGATGAATATGCTTCTTGTAAATCACGTAGAAAGATTTCAATCGACGCACCATCAAATGCGATATGATGAAAATTGAAAATAATTACATCCGATGGCTCGAAATAATCATTCGAAAGAATTGCTGATCGACGAATAACATGACATCGAAANTACTGCTTCTTTGATTGCAGTGTTCGCCCGAGGATGACTCCTTTTTGTGTTCTCTGTCTGATAGGCATCGTTGGTTTAATTGATGATGCTGATGAATCAGCAGTGAACGTATCGGAGAATCTTAAAGCTGTGATTCAGAAAGTTGGTTTGAATCCCAATGGTCTCACTTCGATCGGTGCCGACAATACGAATGTCAATATGGGCAATCATCACAGCGTCTTTTCCTTATTCGCTACGGAAATTTGTAATCTCATCAAAGGTAAACATGTTGAAAGCATCGCTGATTAACTCTATTCATATCCTATTGTCTTTACCTAGGAAATTGCTATTGCCATATTCTCCACAACGGTGTGAAATGGAGTCATCAGCGTTTGACGGTGAACATCGAGAAATTTCTCATGATGGCTTATGCTCATTTCTCCCGATCGGCGAAACGAATTGAGCAGTTGAAGAGTTATTACGAGTTTTACGAGCAAGATTTTCATGTGAGTTGTCCGTATTGAGTGACACAGTTAGGAGAATCGACATATTGTCTGTATGATCCGCACAGGTTTTAATCCAGCACATCAAACTTCGATGGCTATCGTTGTATTCTTCGATTGATCGTTTACTATTAGTCTACAATCCGGTGAAAGATTATTTTACTGATGATTCAAACGATGAAATTCCCTCGGAATTGAAACAGACATTCGAGGCGGAAGAGACACTTTGCGTTTTGATGTTTTTGCATCATATTCTTTTCGAAATTCAAAAGAGCAACCTTGAATTACAAAGACAATCGACAACTGCTGTTGATTTAAATCGGATCATATCAACGCTTCGTTACAAGCTGAAGCAGCGCATGGACAACTTGTTCTTTGGAATTCAGTGCTGTCGTTTGCTGAATCGAATGTCACCGGAACTGGCCAGTACATTGAAATCTTCCTTCGTGCAGTTCATTGAGAAATTTCTAGAGTATATTGATAAATATTTCTCCCATAATGCTGTTTTACTCGAAATAATTGGACGATTTGGCAATGGAATCGAAGATCTTACTTGGAAAGACGTACAGGAATGCATTGAAGTGACAAAGATCGAAGGGTTGCACGAAGACAGTTTATTCGACGAGCTGACCGAACTGAAGTTAACTTTTCAATCAATCAAAATGAAACAGACGCCGATTGCTGATCAAATTCGTCGTTTTATTTCCAATGAAACAGTGAAGACATCCACTGATTCGTCGAGAATAACCTCTCGAGAATCGACGAGCGACGAAGAGGCTGATGAGCAAGCGACGTTGTTCAGATCGGATCAGCTATGGGCGATGTTATTCGCCGTTCATCCAACACCAACTCCAAACATGAAGAAATTAGTTTGTTTTATTTATTCGATTCCTGCGAGCAACGCCTATGTGGAGAGCGTCTTCTCCGAGATGGAACATTTGTTGAATGACTTTCGTAATCGAATGTGTGTAGATTCCATCGCTGCTGAATTGAGCATTCGAAGAAATGCTCGCATTCCATGCACTAACATATACAATTATTTATTATCCCGAAAAGAATTGCTAACAGCAATCAGTGCCAATCGCAAATACAAAGTGAAAGATTAAATTAGCCAGTGAAATATCTCTTTGTATTGCATCTTCTATGTTTTGAAATTGAAATTTAGTTGGAATAAAGAATGTGAACGATGCAAAGGCTTTGAAATCCTTATCAGTCGTAAGAATTAGCAACAAGATTTTGTTTTCCGGATTTCTTCCGGTTTTCTCACCGACCGTTTCCGCTTTTTTCCGCTTTCCTCGATAGATTTTCCGCTTTTCACGTCTACACATCTGGCCACCCTGGTCCTAGATGGAGAATGGGATTGCTTAGATGCTTCAGACGAACAAGGAATTTTCTTTAATAATCATTCATTATCTTCACATAATATTGATCTGATTAATAATTCTGTTTTAGAAGAAAATTTTAATAAACTCTATCATGGTCAACCATTCGGGAATATTTGCAATTTCACCATAGAATTTCCATGTTTTCCAATTAATTCTTCTCATTTATCAAGTTATCCATGTATTAGTCTTGAAAAAGTTGGTGATGGTCATCCTGATTGTGTGGGCGCCTTAGATGAACGAAACACAGTAGAATATTGTAATCAGAAATATATGCTTGGATATGCTTTTCAATGTTTATCGACTAAAACTTGCATTGTTTTTTATGATGTTTGTAACAGCAGATGTCCTAATATTATTGATGATGAACGAATGTGCGCTGGTCTCGGAGATTCTGATGGGTGTAAAAATGGTAATGATTTTCGATGCTGGAATGGAACTTGTATTAAGAAAGGATGGTGTAATCAGAAGTCAGACTGTATACATGGAGAGGATGAATACTATTGTCGAATTCCGAATCTTGAAAGTAAAACAATTCAAAGTAATTATCGCAGTCAAAAAAGAACCATTTTTTCGACAACTCCAAAATACTTGAACCTACCGGTGTTTCCCTACGAAACAAAAATAATATCAAACATAAGTATATACAACTCTTCAATATCGGAAACTGTTAAAAGTATCGATATAGTCAACAATATATCATCACCTATTGCTTACATATGTAATCGTGGCATTGGTATTTATACATACTATAATTCAATTGTTTGCTTTTGTCCTGAACAATATTATGGGGATAAATGTCAATTTTATAGTGATCAATTGACTTTAATTCTTAGTTTGGATATTTCAAATTCCAAATATCAAATGAATACAAATCCAACTTTGATATTAAAGATACTTGTTTTGTTCTTATATGAAAATAAAACTCTTGCTATAAAAGAATTTCATGTTCGACCAGCTATTGAAATGAATAATCCAAAGAAACAAATCATTCGTTTTCTTTATTCTCGAACGAATAAATCATTGGAAAGAAAACGACAACGATATTTTAATCGATCAAATATTATTAATGAACATCCATATTCAATTCAAATTGAAGCTTATGAATTAAATTCTAGTACAAAACCATTGTTTATTGATGTATGGAAATATCCAATCTATTTCGATTATCTTCCATCATTTCGTTTTGTTAAAATTCTTCGTTTTAATAACACTAACAGTATATACAATTCATGTGAAGGATATTATCAATGTCATCAACCTTATAATTACATTTCTTCTTCATCCAATCAAAGTTATTGTTTCGGAAATGCATTATATCGACAAAATTATCGAATTTCCGCAAATAAAACGAATTTATCTACATACTGTATTTGTTCAGCAGAACGTTATGGTCGTCGATGTGAATTATTATATGATCAATGTAATGAAAATCCTTGTCAAAATAATGGTAGTTGTCTTCCTTCAAATAAACGAACTGAATATTATTGCGTATGTACAAATTTCTTCTATGGAAAACGATGTGAATTATCCAAACAAATTGTAACTTTATATATTAATGAAAGTATTGAACATAAAGCGATAGTTATTCAATATTTTCGAATAGATCTTTTTACATTAAAATTAATATTAATTTCTCAACGTATTTACAAACAACTTCCTGATCAATTAATCGATTATCAAAATGAACTGAAATCACCTGATATTATCATAGCTAAACAATATATTGATATAAATCAAGTTAATATTTACATAATGTCATTACAAATCAATGCTTCATATCTGAATATTATAACACAAATGAATGAATTTAATCGTTGTATAAACGTTCGTATGTTATTTCCAAAAACTGAAGAGAATGAAATTCCTGAATACAAATATCATGATCTTTGTCGAAACAATTCCAGTTTATTTTGTTTTTCTGATGATAATTTTGTATGTATTTGTGATAAGGATCATTATCGTGTCGAATGTTTTAATTATGATCATAATCTTGAAGAATGTTCATTTTGTTATTCTGGTGGACAATGTTTAATTGAAAATCATTTAAATAAAGATAATTATTATTGTCTTTGTCCATTATGTCGTTCTGGTCAATTATGTCAATTTATTGATGATGGATTAAGTTTTACACTTCATTCTGCTCTACTTCGTGTTTCTTATATTTATCGAATAATTTATTGTTTGATAGTTTTTCTTCTATTTATAATTGGTGGAATAACAAATTATGCGACATTAATTACATTTAGTCAAGAAAATTTACGAAAAACAAATGTTGGAATATATCTTTTATCCTTTTCAATAATTAGTCAATTGACTTTATTTTCATTAACTTTAAAAAGTTTTCAAATCGTTTTCGCTTCTTTGATCAATGATATTTTATGTAAAATAATCTCGTATACACTTTCAACGACTCTTCGGTGTTCATTTTGGTTAATTAGTTGGGTGGCAATTGTACGTGTATTTTGTATCTTATTTCCTTTTTCAACTTTATTAAAAAATATTCGTTTAACAATATTTATTAGTTTATTGACATTGATTATCATTGCATTAATGGATATTCATGAATTATTCTTTTATATAAAAGATCCAAGTGGACAATCAGCTTGTATTGTTAGTTATCCATTAACTATCTCAATTTATGAACGCATTACTGTTATTGTTCATTATACAATTCCATTTTGTATTCAAATTTTATCAATAAGTGGATTAATTATTTTGGCAGCACGTAGTCGTTCTCGTGCAACAAATCATTGTGAAACATTTTTAAAATATCTTGAAAAACAATTTGAAAATCAAAAAGAAATGTATATTGTTCCATTAGTTATTATTTTAAGTGGTTTACCACAATCAATTCTTTCATTTAGTTTTTCATGTGTTAATTTATCTTTTTGGCAAAAACATCTTTTACTTATTTCTTATCTTATTGCTTATGCACCGCAAACACTTGGTTTTGTTTTATTTGTTTTACCATCTACAAGTTATTTAAAAGAATTTCAAAAAACAAATCTATCGAAAATGTTTATTTTTCGATTTATTTTAAGAGAATTAAAGAAAAAACATTTTGCACGAACTACAACAGTAACATAGTTTTCTTCGAACAACCATCAGTCATGTTATTGCACAATCTTAGATAGATTCGTTTATTTTTCTAATCATAATTGTACTCTCATACTTCATTACGCAGTAAATTTGCTTTTTGTTTGATGATATCTTTGCTTAAATTATGAACTGAATAAAATGACACAGTTTTTCACTGTTCAAAAGAAGTTTCATCTTTTTTGTATTGAAATTGTTTCATATTTCTTCGAAGCTTTTTCTTGTTGTCTCTAACTCAATTATAGATGATATTATCAAAATATTTATCACGAGGAAAGTTTAGTGTGTTTTTCTTAGCATTAACCAAAGTAGCTCATAGAGGGTATTTCTTCATGTTGAATTGTTTTACTATTCTCGTTGACAGACACAGTGCAATACTCGATGAATTTTTCTTATCTATTAAGAAAGTTTGTCTACGACGTTTTTTTTTCGATATTATATGTATGAAAATCAATACGAGAAGAACGAACATTTTTTTCCAAGAAATTCTAAAGAATACTGAGACGATTATCACATATTTTGGTTGGTACTATATAATCATGAAGAGAGTAGAATTGAAAAGCGTGTATGTTTGTAATCAGATTTTGAGAATTTCAATACACTATAAACAATTACATTGATCAAAGATGTTCACTATACCGTTACCTATGCAGGCAATGGATTATGAAAAAAACTAATACGCTGCTTTTTGAGGATGCGTAGTAGTGTAAAGAAAAATAACACCCTCATCGTCACTCTCATGAATATATTCAATATTATCAATAATATTTTCTATCAAGATTTCTTAATATAATTTAAAAGTTTCAAAAAACTAACTAAAGATATTGATTATATACAATAAGTTCAAAAGTAAAAATTATATCTCTTTATTTTAAACACATTTATAAATATTCCGAGGAGGATTTTTTGACATTTGAAAACTTCCTTTTCAATGCTTATAACGATTAATAATGTTTGTTATAGAGTTAAATCTTATAAAAAAGAGATTCTATATTTATTCCCGTATAAGTCCGTATGTATTCATATAGAAGTTAATTAAGATGATTTTTAATGATTTCTACATAATTCTATTACTTTTCTGATAATCACAGTAAAGAAAACAAAAGAAAAATGTCAAAAACAGTTTCGACACATAGGCGAGTATTGCAACTAGAGACCAATGGTATTGTAAAAATCTGATACCGTCTCGTATCGCACACTGCCTCTGTTCGTATCATCATACCACACCGCCAGAAACTTCTTGAATGTTTATTCGAATGCTTTTATGATCTCATTTGCTTCATATATAGATTACTTTTTGGATGGATGTAAATAAGACTGTATAAAGAAAAATATAATCACATCCGTCGATAATATCGAAGATATAGTGAAAGTACTTGTACTTATGTTTTTTTATTATTTTTAAGTAATAATTGTAAGCACAAGTATTCATAAGATTTACTCGTACTTTTACTTTAGTGCAAAAAATCTAGAATTTTGTACTTAAGTTTGAAAGACAGGAATATATTTTCTTTGTTAATCGAAGTAGTTTTTGTTTTATTGGATCTATGATAATTTTTTATGACCTGAAAATGATCATGTTAAGATTTAGTTCTTGATGATTCTCTAACTGAAACTAAAGTTCTGTCTGACATTTTAGGGTGAGAGTATATCAGTGTACGTGACAAAATCCACATCCACATTGCAGAAGATTGTGCATCTTTATATATTCATTGAAGTAAAAACAGCATTCTTCGTGTTGAAGATTTGAAAATGTTCATATTTTTAATTTAATAATACAGAAAAGAGGAAAAAGAGACGGAGTAGGTGATCAGGATACGATTGATATTTCATCTGGCTACATATTTGAAAGAATACGTTTAATTTCCGTTCGCAATGTCTTTGATACAATGTTCGTATAGCCACTGATACTATTTTCAATAAAGAAAATAAAATAAGTTAATATAAGAATATATTCTTCAATTAATTGTTGTTCAGAACTTTTGTTTTCATACTGTGTTATTTGTTGATAAAGATAAAACATTGCATATGGTAATTTACTAATTGTATAACCAAATATATCAACAAATAACATACGAATTAATTGTCGATCTTTAGATTGAAGAATATTTCTTCTACCAACTGGTAAATCGGTGTGAAGCTAGCACCATCGAGCTAGCACCATCAAACTAAGGATTTTCTGAAAACGAATTCCGATCAATAAAACCGAGTGTATTCGATGCAGACTTTAATTCTGAGCCCAATGATGTCATTTTTATTCACTGGAAAGCGTTCGGAAAAAAAATTTTTCGAATTGAAAAAAATATTTGTATATATATGCGAAAAAATAAGAATCAAGGTAAGCTACATACCGAACGTTTTCCGGTAAATAGAAGTGGCGTCTGTCGATGCAGAATTTGATTCTGCATCGAATAGACTCTTTTCTATGAACTGGAATTCGTTCTGAACAGAGATATTGCGTGCCGACGGTCGAAAAATGATGCATATACATGTATCGAGGATAAAGAAAGATCAAAGAAAATTTTTCTCCGAACGTTTTCCCGTGAATAACAATGTCACCATTGGACTCAGACTTAAAGTCTGCATCGAATACACTCGGTTTTATCGACCGGAATTCGTTTTCAGAAAATCCTTAGTTTGATGGTGCTAGCTTCACACCGATATTATTCGTTACGTACGAAGTTATGCTCGTGAAAGGTAAACTGCTCTTAAATGAGCGAATAAATTCTTTACTTTTCCATGTTCTAGATGGTACGAGTCACCTGAAATTTTACTAAAGAACCAATTATCCTTGTCTTGAACGATTGAATTTTGTCAATTACCTTCAGCTATATTATCAACCATTGATTTTCGTTCAACACCAGCAGACAATATGTCTTTTATTAGCATTAAATCATCGATGGAACAATTCTCTCAAGTTGCGGCATTAGAAGACAAATTAGTTCGATGCTTTAGTACCAATAACACGATGTTATGACCTACATCTTATCAGATGTGATCATAAGGATTTTACCCTACATAGATCATATGTGCACGATGGTTCTCCTTTCCTGTCATATACATATACATGTTCTCTTTCTCTCTCGTCACATACACATATGTATATATGACGAATTTTCTGCTCCTTTCTTCTTCATTTCAAATGATAGATTTATCCTTTTCGATCTCAGTCATCTGGTAAATTTCCAGAAAGCCATGTCAAGGGATCAGTTGATCACTATATAAACTCGGTTTTACAGTTGAATAAAGATATATGATCTTGTCCTCATACAAGAAATAACATCGTCACACACGAAGGTTAAACTATCTGTTACGGGTTTCTTCGAGAATGTGAACAAACAAGCCCATTTGTTTTATCATGGAACAATATCGGAATACACTACTCAAATATTAGAATCCGGCATTCCAGATGGCGATTCGTTTAGCTCAAGCGATTTTGAGCCAGGATATTATCTTAACACATCTTTTACGGAGCTTCGAGACTGGTCGTTGAAGCGGATTCGGGGTGTTGATACAAAATTAGGTGCAGTTTTCATCTACAAAATTGATATGAACCAATTTAACATTTGGAATTTGTCATCGCATGGAGAACATGATGATAATGACGCATTGTTGAATGAATGGCGAAAACTGATAAAGTTTTGCCGACAAAAGAAACGCCCGTTTCAATTAATTTACCAATACGATGGTGTATTTGGCTCTTAATGTGCAAATCTAGCAGATATGTTTTATTTGCAAGAAGAACCACGCATTCGAAGAATTCAATCATCTGAAGCAAAACAACTGTGCGTGTCTTCATCAAAATTAAAATCAAAACTCTATCGTGATTTACTGGAGGCAATAGATATATTGGATCAAAGCACCAGTAATTAAATTTTTAATCAAGAACAAGAACATTTTTGTTTTATATATATACTCTTTGATGAATAAAAGAAAAAAGATTATCTTCAAATTTTTAATTTAATCAGACTTTTCCCTTTTCTGAACGAAAGGGTTATACAGCGATTAAATCGACAGCTCAAAATGCTAAAAGTTTCTCTGTCTGTGTGTCCAAGCCAATCAGATTACAGCATTTGATAACTCAAAGAAAACTTGACGATGGTCATACGGGAATGATTCACCATAAGTAATCGAGGTCGAGGATCCCGAATATGACGTTAGTTTTTTCGTTGTCGCGAACTTCCGGCTTCTTTCTCACTTTTTTCAAAAGAGATATTTTGCTGTATCTTCCTAAGATCTTTTGTAGAAGCTAGTGGAGTGAATGCTACTGCTGGCTGTGGTGTGGACGAAGATGGTAGTTTAGGAGTTTACAGAAAAAGATTTAATACACCATGCACCATGATATTTCTAAGTCAAGAAATCGGAAAAAGTGATAAGATGTCAATATCATTTTTCGTTATAGGCTGCGATGCGTCAGATCTTTAATAGGAATTGAGCGGAAATAGGTCGCATAGTGATATATCCGTCAGCGCAATTTGATGTTATTAACTACAGAGAGATAAATCATACGAATGATATTCCAAACATATGGAGCACTATGATGGATATTCTTTTCACAGCAAATCATAAAATAAGGCGTTTGATCTGTTTTCTTTTGGTAGTCAAATGAATGAAAGATCACCACTTTCGAAGCGACAATGAAAGGAAGCGCAGTTATTCTAGTTGAAAATTAATCAAAGATGAAAGGGATAATAGAGGTAGCACAGCAACGGCTAGTCGTGAGTGACCGACTAGATGTTTGTTTTGAAAATTAATTGAAAGATGAGATTTAGAAGAGTCTCATATAATGTCAATGATTTTTGGACGAACATAATTGATGTCTCTTCAAGCTTGGAGAATAAGCCCTGCAGATTATCAGCTTCTCAAATTGAAGACAAGAATGAAATATGTACCGTAAATCGGGCATTTACGTAGAATCTTGATAACTTCGGTTGCAGGCTCACTCAGTAGTACTAAGTCGGTATGAACGAGATACCTTTTTATATAAAAATATGAAAAATAAAAGTTGATTATGTATCAATAGCTAGCCCTGAGTGGCCGACTGGCTAGGCGTTTTAATTCTAGATTAATCTTAATGTGTAGACTTGAAATAGCCTTATTAGACGTGAAAGATTTTTGAAACAGATTTTACGAATGTAAATTCCTCAATGAAAATATTCCAGAAAGTATCAATTTTTCACTAAAAGACAGGCTAATGTATGAACTTTTCACGTAGTCTATTATATATCGTCAGTCTGTGAGCGACTTAGTAAAGTATCTAATCAGTGTGAAGCTAGCACGAAGGAGCTAGCACGAACAAACGATATGTTAGCTAAAAACGTTTTTACTAAGTATGTCCCGTCTATGAAAACTACACCATTCGACTCAGAATTTAATTCTGCATCGAATGGTGGCACTTTTATTCACCGGACAAACTTTGGAAATTTTTCTATCTATATCTTTGTTCGTCTCCTTTATGTCTATTTATAATCCAGATAGAATTTTTCCAAAGTTTTTCCGGTGAATAAAAGTGGCACCATTCGATGCAGAATTAAATTCTGAGTCGAATGGTGTAGTTTTCATAGACGGGACATACTTAGTAAAAACGTTTTTAGCTAACACATCGTTTGTTCGTGCTAGCTCCTTCGTGCTAGCTTCATACCGATGATTCCCTTCCCCCTGTTTGACTAGACAACAATAATAAGTGGTTTTTTTCTTCTTTGTGTTTTTCTAATCATTACATCATCGTATTGGTGCGATGCTTGTTCGTCGTCGTAGTTTTTTCATTAACGAAGCTTTCAATGGATCAGTAAATCCAAATAAAACAATCGTTGCACAGAGCACTGAAAGATCCGTAAATGTTTGAGCGAATCGTAAATGATATCGTGGTGGATCGGTGAAAAATGCGATGAAAACAAACGACATATACGGAATACCAATGATGGCTAACAGTGCTACTATTATGACTAAACGTCGAGTCATTTTTAGTTGTCGTTGTGCACGAAATAGAATATTAGCTGGTACTGCACGTTCATTCATTCCACGAACATACCGAACTAATTTAAAATAAATGAAAACAACCAATGAAACAGGAATAGTATACATGCAACTGCTCGTATAAATTAAGATCAAAGAAGATCTTAGAGGTATTTGACAGATTTGGTTGTCAACATTGTAGGTAATTTTCTTGGTGAATAGAAATGCAATCGGATAAATATAACACCATATCCATGTAGAACAAAGCAATATTACGTAGAATTTCATTGACTGCCAGAATAAACGATGTGGATAAACAGTAGTAAGATATCGATGAATGGATTGTAGAAGATATGAATACATAGTTACAGCTGATGCAGTGTAACAAATGTAACCACGAACAGCACAGATTGAATCTTCATACTCAAGTTGTTTTAGATCATTTTTCAACATGAATGTAGCTAAGCCGAGTAAGTCACATCCTATTATTAATAAGGCGATGTAAGAATGAGCAGTTAAGAGCATGGGAATCGTATGACATGTTTTATCCACAACAATAACCAAGAGAAAAAGACCAGAAAGTAAAATTATCAATGTGCTACAGATAATCATGAGAATATCGGAAGGAACAAACCAGAATTCATTGATTATCGCGGTAGAATTTGTTGTAAAAAGTGTTGCCTGTATAGAAAAATTACCACTCATCTTTAAAAAAAACATTCAGAAATGAAAAGGCTTTGAAGTGGAAAAGAGAGAGAGACGCACACACATAGACGTTAATAATTTATCTATAGAATCAGTCGTGTGTACTACTTTACTATGATAACTCATTCATCAACTCACTCAATAATATCTCTCCTTCTTCTTGTCATATTCAATCATACGAAAGAAACTATTATATTCATTCTCAAAATGGTATTTCATAAAGCCCCTGTAATAAAATACGCTCCATAGAAAAAACCCAAGATTTCCAAATATAGAAAAACATGAGAATCAATAGATTTCAGAATTGATCCCACAGATTTTATAAAATATTACGGTCTCATGATTTACTTTAATACAGTTAGGCTAAATCACATTGTACTATCTGAAAAAATGATTATGAAAAATAGGTAACATTCAGCTTTTTTGTTATCTAAATTTTTCCTCATAACTTTCCACTAATTTCAAATAGCATAAACAACTAATTTTATACCAAATTATAGTGTGCCAAAAATGGAATTTTTCCATACTAAATTGTAAGGGTTATCGAAGCTGTTTGACGTCGAACTTAACAAAATCTTATGTTTTCTTTTGGGGTAGAAAATAAAGGCATCAAAGCTATGTTTACTAAAAAATTGAGTTATTAGCCATCTGATATGTTGCAATTAGTATTTCAATAATTACAAGAAAATACTAATGATTCTGTCTGTAAAACGTTTCGCGAGATTACATTTATTTTGAGTATACTATATATAAGTTTTTAAAAGCAAAGCGAACAATATTTCGATGAACTAAAGAGAGAATGAAGTACAAGTGAATATCATATAAATGTGAATCAATTAAAGAAAAGTTACTTTTAAAAGAAGAATAGTTATTTGTTGTTTTATATTTCAATGGAATATATATAAGTAATAATAATATTTTGTCTTTCAATATAGGTTTTGTCTATAGAACAATAATTATCTTTCATTTATTGGCATAATTAATATATTTCCCATTCTCCATTTTCGAATGTATATTGTAATATATTTAATCATAAACGGTATAACTAATCGTAAAACTTTTGTTAAATCACCAGTAAGTCCAATTAATGTAGTAATTATATAAATAACACTATTTTTTGTCTGATGAGTATAAGTACATTCTTTTGGTTTACATACATTGTAATATTGCTCATACATTACTATCGAATTCCATGTTTCAACCATCAAATTATTAATAATCTTTTCAAATGTTGAATTTGATAAAAATCGACTTGATAAGAGATTATCAAGTGATGTTATATTTATTGGTGTAGACCATTGAAAATATAATTGTTTGATTATAAAAACAACGAAGATCAGATTGTAGTAATGATTCAATAGTATAACATCCACTATAGAAACCTGGAAGAATAAATAAGGATACATCACATGCACAAGTACATATCTTAGAAAGATAACTGCAACTTGATGAAGATTCACAACTACGTTCACCGAACACTTGTGGATAGACAAAAGGATAAACATCTCCAGTCTATACAACAAATCCAGCATTAGTTAAAGGACCAGCAAATAATGAATTACTTTGAGTAGTATTTCGTATTATCATTAATAATAACAAAAAATCATTAATTGTTGATGATATACTTAGGATTGACCAAAAGTTCGTAGCTCTGACTTTAAAATTTTATAAGATAGTTCATACCAAAACTTTTTGTCTATAAAAACATAGTATCATGCCTCGTCTACAATAATGTATCGAACGAATCTATCATATATATATGTGTGTGTACGCTTTCATTTTTTTTTAAATTATGGGATAATTCATTCTCTTTCATCTCGCTACTCTACGTTTGTTATTGTTCTCCGTATTCGATGAACTTGATATTGATCTTGACCTTTTCAATTTCTATTTCATATAATTGATTTGAGATCAATATGAAATTAGTTTTCAAAGTGGTTTTCTTACCGCTTTCATTTGTGGTGAAAGACTTTCCCAAAGAAACTTCGCTTCGGTTCTAATTTCATTGAAATATTCATCAATAATAAACAAAGCTGAGTTTTCGACTTACACTTTTGACAAATATAAATATGTAACCATCAATTCTTTGTAGAAATCAACCGAAATATTGTTCTGTGGGCTCTAGAAAATTGGGACATGAGAACAATGAATTGCACTACAATCGGATTTACTGTTAAGAGTTGATTTTGTAATTGTGATAAATGTTCACGTTGTTGTTGAACCAGAACTGCTAATGAATCGGGCATCTTCGTTCGAGATCACAGTTACACAATGAAGATTAAATAGAAAGGAAAGAAAGTTCTGGTTGAACCTTTTGATAAAACAACGAAAGAAGAGAACTGGATTGATGACAAATCGGTTTCACATATAATTGAGAAAAGGAAAACATCTACATAGTGCGTTCGCACGAGGGATTTAAAAAGTTTGTTGAACGTTTAAATGTTCTAGTTAATGTCACCTCTGCGGTAAACCATAGCTCAATTTTATAGTTTTTGGCTTTAAAAAGAAATAAAAGATCATGTGACTGTTTTTTTCACATTGAGAAACAATCATTTTTTGTTTTTGTTTTATCTGTCATCGAATAAGATTTGAAAAAAATGAAACAAACACACTGAGGGATGCTGCATGAAGCTCTATCAGCAAACTATATCGTCAAACTTATTACAATCATCTGTTTTTTTAACTAAAAAAACGTCAAATGTTGCAAAACAATCAGTGAAAACTGGCTGGGTAACATTTAGTGTTCACGAAGACAAAACATGCATAATTAAAATGAATCTCTAATCTAAACTGTAGAGTTTTTCATATTCCATTAGAATTTTTAGTTAAAAAAAACTAATTTAGAGATGTTAATTCCTTTTGATGAAAATAGAATCGGTCTCCAAAGGAGCCAAAATCATAAAAGATGTCCCTGTTTTTAATTTTTAAATTTACCACTGTATCTGTGAAAACAGAATTCAATGAGCATGCGTATTCTAACGCCATCTTTCTGCGCACGCCAACAATTCGTAATTGTTGAAATGATTACACGTCATTTGTTTTCGTCAAAAACATATATAAATACATCACCACCATGAGTTACTACTCATAACGAACAAAGTCAAACATTTTTCATCGCTTCCAGTCTCCACGGTACAGTCTGCTGCACGATTGAAATACAACATGCACACATTTTCAACATTACCCGTCGAACTAGTTTATCGAATTATGGATCATCAAAATGAGCGGACGCTATTTTGTTCAATGCAAAATATTAGTCGACGGCTCAATCAGATCCTGAGTACTTACCAGCGATATCAAGTAAGTTTACTTGGTATCCTAACATTCTTGTAGACTGTGCTATACATAAACTTGATGGTATTTGATGTCGTAGATTCCCTCACAGGAAAACCCAAACTAATTTCATAATTCATAAACGATTTCCTAGGATGAGACAACCACAGCCAGAAGTCATATGAAATCCAGCATTCCATCACTCTCTCCCCTTTATTTTATGTACGTTGAGGATGCATTCGTCCGATACGCGACCATGAACGAGCAAAACACTTACTTATGCGTTACCGTTACTGCGTTGCACCGCTCGAAACAAAAACTGCATCACTGACAACTTTTGACGGAACTCATCTACTGAAGCAAAAAACCCTGTATTCTTCCTTCACCAATGCCAATCTTCATTCTGAACACGGGTACATCAAGTCCCGCTACTACATTTCAGACTAGTAGGGCTTGGATTTCACTGCAGCGCGTCTTCAAAAGAAAAATCTCAGTACCACCAACAAATATTGAAACTCATCTCCTACTCTTTCCGATTCCATCCTATCACAGTTTTCTCAAGTCTCGATTCTCGACACAGCACTTCTTCCCGCAACAACAACTAGCATCATCATCCACTCGACGAATTCACATCTACACCCCATTCCTCCTTAAAAATCGATCCCAAAAAAAACTATTTTAAATCCCATAAATATCATCAGAAGTGCCATCAAAGGTTTTCTTTACTACTTACGCATTTCATCATACATTACTTCAATTCAGACACTCACCACACTTGACTTCAGTAGGAACGGAATCCGTGCTCAAGGAGCACAACACATTGCTAATGCGCTCCGAACGAATACGGTAATATTGATCTCATTTGATTAGAGATGAAGCACTCAGTCTATCTCACACCTACAGACACTCACCACACTTCACCTAGATGAGAACGAAATCGGTGCTCAAGGAGCACAACGCATTGCGGATGCGTTGCGAACGAATACGGTAATATTGATCTCATTTCATTAGAGATGAAGCACTCAGTCTACCTCACACCTACAGACCCTCACTAACCTTAACCTCAGTGGGAACCGAATCGGTGCCGGAGGAACACAACACATTGCGGATGCGCTCCGAACGAATACGGTAATATTGATCTCATTTGATTAGAGATGAAGCACTCAGTCTATCTCACACCTACAGACACTCACCACACTTCACCTAGATGAGAACGAAATCGGTGCTCAAGGAGCACAACGCATTGCGGATGCGTTGCGAACGAATACGGTAATATTGATCTCATTTCATTAGAGA